CAATTTATTTATATTTCATTTCTATCTCATTTAATGATAAACAAGGACCACGCGTGTGGAGACGCGTGTAAAAACTACTGTTTGTAATATTTTTGATGTAGTAAATAATAGGATATTAATTATAGACCTTTAAAATTCAAGCAAGCAAGCAAACATACGTAACAGTTGAATCCGTTCACGAGGGTAAAGTAAAAAAGCAATACGAAGAAAGAGTATCTATTTACTTTTTTTTTTTTCAATAGTGTTACTTACATCAGGCCATAAAATACAAATAAATTTCTTTAGCAACTCAAGATTGTTTTACAAAGTAAATTGCGAAACAAGAGGAAAGCTACTTAGCTAAAATCCGTTTGTAACAATGAATTTTTTAGATTTAGAATTTCCTGTGGTCAGTTTCTTAAGGTTATTACATTGTTTTCTTTTTGAATTATTATTTATACTTTAGAATCATTTAACTAGGCAATCAACATGACAACTGACAGTTGACGTTTATGAGCAGAGCTCTGTAATCGATGCGTTCCGTGTTCACGCATATTCTCGTTTATGTCACCGACCGCTCTGAAATTACTCTTTACTAAACTGGCCTACTTTACTGAGTTTTGCATCTTTTTTATATCCCTTTTAATTATATTTTTCATATATTAATGTTATGTACCTAATAATGTTCTTGTCATCACTCCTCAATAAGTGCTAGTGTAAGCCGGCGGGTGGTGCACTGATGTGAGTATTAAATTAACTCATTCCACTTAAATTTGTAATTGATCAATAACTTTTATTTTTATTATTTTTTAATATTTTATTTACTGCATATGTCTGATGTTGACTCCTACTGCTCCGCCAACGACTCCATTAATTCATCAGCAAATGAGAGTTTTACTTCGGTAACTGACACCCTCGGTGACATAGTACGTAGCACTTTTATACAAAAGTGTCATCGAATGTTTAACGTTTGTCACATAAATGCTCAAAGCATACCCAGTCACTATAGTGACTTATGGGAAACTTTTAACGGCTCAAACGTGGATGCTATCCTGATTTCCGAGACTTGGCTCAAACCCCAACTACTTTCAACCTTTTATCCTCTCCCAGGCTTCGTTCTTATAAGGAACGACAGGGCAAACAAAAGGGGCGGTGGTGTTGCAATATACCTACGTTCCGATTTTTCCTACAATATTCTCTCCAATTCATCACCCAACTCGACTGCTGAGTACCTTTTCCTGGAGGTTTGTGTCAGGGGAGCTAAACTCATCTTAGGTGTCGTTTATTGTCCTCCAGCCACTGATTACTTCACCGAATTCGAATCGGTTTTAGAATCTTTAGGGTCTGAGTATGAGCATCACATCATCATGGGCGACTTTAACACCGATCTCCTGTCTGCAAACTCCCCTCGTTGTCGTAAGCTGTCGCATATTCTGGAATCTACGTGTCTACATGTCCTACCGCTTCAAGCCACTCACCACAACCAATATGGAGATGACACCCTGCTGGATATCATTATTACTTCGTCTCCTGATAAGGTCTCATCGCATGGACAATACCCAGCACCTGGTTTCTCACATCATGACCTGATCTTTGTTTCATACAAAATTAAAACGCCAAAACCTAAACCCAAAATGATGCTTAGACGTTGTTTTGGATCTATGAATCCTGAGAGACTTCGGGAGGATGCTTCTCATATCTATTGGGAATCGTTAGCGGCAGCAACATCTGTCGACGAAAAGGTTCAAATATTGAACGAAAACATCCTGCACCTATACAACGTTCACGCGCCATTGAGGAATGTCAAATTAAAACATCCTCCCGCACCTTGGTTGACAGATAACATCCGCAGTGTAATGCGGTGCAGGGATCGGGCTTTTCGGCGATTTAAAAGAACTCGAAGTGATGACAACTGGCTTGCCTACAAAACTGTGAGAAACAGATGTAATCAGGTGATACGTAACGCCAAACGCCGTCATATTCTCGATAACATTTCTTCATCCTCTTCTGCTAATATCTGGAAGTTCTTAAGGACTCTTGGTATTGGCAGTGAGCGCCATGCAGATTTTCCAACGAATATTGCTTTAGATGATATCAATTGCCATTTCACCACTCCCTCTATATTGGATCATCAAAGCAAAGTTCAAACCATCGATTTCGTAGCCCGTCTGCCTAGGCCTAATATAAACCCCTTTGATTTTTCTCCGGTTGCATCAGAGGAGGTCAAACGATTTGTTACCTCTATCAAATCCAAAGCTACTGGTTGCGACAAAATTAGCCATTTCATGGTAACCACTATCCTAGAACAGCTTTTACCCGCTATCACTCATATTATCAACTATTCCTTAGATTCCAATGTTTTCCCCTCCTTATGGCGCAAGGCTTATGTACGTCCATTGGCTAAGGTACCTAACCCCTCCCTTCCTACTCATTTTCGTCCAATATCCATCCTCCCTTTCCTCTCCAAAGTCCTTGAAGCCTGTGTACATAAGCAACTATCTCACTTTATTTACCAGAACAACTTGCTTAACCAGTATCAGTCAGGATTTCGACCAGGACATAGTACAGGTACAGCACTGCTCAAGGTGACACTTGACATAAAGGCTGCGATGGAAGATGGCCAGATAACTGTACTCGCATTAATTGATTTCTCAAATGCCTTCAACACCGTGAATCACGATATACTACTTACAATCCTTTCCCATTTCATGATTTCCGATGATGCACTGGAATGGTTCTCGTCCTACCTTCGAGGACGCCAGCAGTCTGTCCGAACTGATGAATCCACATCGCTATGGGCCGACCTTGACTCTGGTGTTCCACAAGGCGGTATTCTTTCTCCACTTCTCTTTTCACTATTCATCGACTTCATAACTCATGAACTTCAGTGTTCGTATCACCTGTATGCAGACGACTTACAGATCTACTCACATGCGAGAGTAGAAAATATAGACGAAGCGATAAACAAAATTAACTGCGACCTAGACACCATAAAAAACTGGTCCAGCAGATTTGGTTTATCCGTGAACCCAGCCAAATGTCAGGCAATCTTTATAGGGAGTCCTAGAATGACGGGTAGAATTGATACTGACGCTATCGCAGATATTATTTTTGATGGAACTGTGTTGCCCATTAGCCAATCAGTCAAGGATCTCGGTCTGCACATAGACCCAACCCTAAATTGGCAAACGCAGGTAACTAGCGTCAGTCAGAAGGTAACGAATATCTTGAGGGGACTTTACCGCCTGAAAAATTTACTCCCAGTGAAAACAAAAACGATGCTGGTGCAGACCTTAATTTTCCCAATCATCGACTATGGTGATGTGTGTTACCTCGACCTGAATGCAGATCTGCTCAATAAATTAGACCGACTTCTCAACAACTGCATTCGGTTCATATTCAACCTGCGAAAGTACGATCATGTATCCGCTTATCGCAGGCAATTGTCATGGCTACCTATAAGACAGCGCCGCAGTTTGCGGGCGCTGACTATGTTGCACTCCCTTCTCCACACACCTACCTCACCTACTTACTTAACATCCCACCTGCAATATCTCTGCTCCAACCATGACAGAAGCCTTCGCTCCGCTGATAATTTCCTCCTTCTTTGTCCTTCACATAGCTCCCGTATCATACATTCTTCCTTCACTGTCCAAGCGGTAAATCTTTGGAACGCCCTTCCCCTAGAGATCAGGACATCCACCAACCGAACAATCTTTAAGACCAGAGTACGCAAGCTTTATGGAGACTTGTTGACGGAGTCATCAAAATAACCCCTTGTGTGTTCATCAACGCAGGCATGTATGTATGAATGTATGTGTGTATGTTTATGTTTTTTTTAATATTTATAGTATTATATAGTACGTATAAATGATATTTGCATGTATATATGTATCCATCTTGCAACCGACTACAATTTAAATAATTTATCTCATTATATACCTGCCATACACAAATCTCTGCATCACCCCAAGGTTGACTGGAAGAAAATGCCTATGGCATTAAGTCCGCCTTATGCAATGTATTTGCAGGAAGTATAAATAAATAAATAAATAAAATTTTTATCAGTAACGGAAATACGTAACAAAATATTAAAACATTTTAAGAGATGGAAATAGGTAAATTTTAATTATTAAAAACTGTATTTTTAATTAAATTGAAACGCAATTAAAGTACCAACGTTTTAATTATTATCTTATGTTATATGATATACTTATATTATGTTATAAAAATTACGTTAACGAGCATTAACGGCTGACGCAGTCAACCTGTGTCCACGACCAGTGCAATCTGGTCGAAACGTCAGATATTTCAAAGGTATGTACTTAATATCTGTTATGAACCCAGCAATTCCCTGGTAATGTAGCATCCCATTGGTGAAATAATTTAAAATAAAATCAGTTAATGGTTTAGGTCTGAAGGCGTACCAAACAAACAAACTCACTTAAATATTATAAGTATTGATGTGTTTAGGCGTGCTTGAAAAAATTCATATCATGCATATCCGTCATCTCATAGCACTTTAAGGAAAATTGGCGCTCAGGAATTTTATTTAAAAACTATCTTATTTTTGTACCATAAGTGCGATATTATAGTTTATTTTGACATTCCTGTTCAAAGCACTTTTTTAACCGACTTCAAAAACACAAAAGAGGAGGTTATCAATTCATGTGTATTTTTTTTCAAATGAGGCCACTTTATCTCTGCTAAAACAGTTTTAAAAATATTTCCAAAGTAAAAAATAAACGAAAAACAAATTCGTAAATTAAATGAAAAACATTTAATTTCAACTTTCCGAACGACAATATACATTAACAAATAAACAAACGAGACGCTATTAAAAATAAGATAAAAATAAGAAATAAAAATACCTTATACAAGTAACTAGAAAATTTAAAAGCAGTGTCTATTTTACGAAGAATTCTCATTTCCTTGTTCTTTCAGATTCTTATGGCGTCCAGCTGCGCAACAAAAGGAGCTTACAAATGATCATATCCCAGCATTTTAGCGAAACTACCGTTATGCCTGGGGTTGATGTAAGTATATTATCGTTTTGAACATTTGTATGGTTTTAGAGAGTTTAATTTTATACTTAAAACAATAAATGTTTTGTTCCTGTTGGAACCGCTATTAGTAGTGAAAATTGAGATCAAAAATTTGAAGTGGAGAAACGATAAAGATGAATTGAGAAGAGTAACAATAAGATGTTTTACAAAATAGATTTTCATGGATTTTACTTATTAATAATTAAGTACTTATTATAAAATTAATTTGCTTTTGATCATTCGTGAGGCGATCACACCAGATATATACATAAAAACAGTTAAAAAGGATTTGCAAATATTGTAATTGTCATGCCTGTGTCTTAATCTACTGGAAGCTTTATTCTTTTGGCACGACTTACATGGGTGAATAAAAATTTAACTTTTACCCAGAAACTTTCAAGACAATTTAATACAATGACGCAGAAACATGGAATATAAAGTGAAATTATAACTAAAGCAAACAATTTAAGCTTACGTCTTCAAATCCAAGTGGCATTTTATATTCAACATTATATTCAGAGTTTTTGTTGCCCGATTTCAATGTTATACTATTCATTTTAATGTACGTACTAGTAATTAGACTGTACATATTCTGTAAAGTGCAAACTTAATTTTTATTTGTAGGTGAGTTTACAGTGTACCCTAAATGGACCCCGTCCAGGCAGATTTGTTTGGGAAAGGGATGGTATTGGTATATCGTCTAATACTGACTCCAGGTGAGAAGTGTTACGTTTTGTTGCTTTTGTGATCTCAGTTAATGACACGAGAGGTTTTTAAAAGAAATGGAAAATATACTCATAGTGACACAAAAATAGAACTGTAAACCACATATTTGTTGGTTTGTTTTTTGAAACACAATTACTCAGCAAATCTGCGTATATTTGTGTACAAAAGCTTCGGGTTAAAAAGTGATATATACTGTATTTATTTAGAGAACTATGAGTCGAAAACTTGTTGTTGTAACTACATCTTCACTATATAGTATACCTAGCCTAGTTGCTGGGATGAGTTTTTCCAGAAGTTTTCTCACTTGCTACTCTAAACTGCGTTACACAACAGTTATGTTTAACTAGACAGAGGTGTGCAGTAGCAACTGCCAACTGTATTCGAAATACAAACCTCTTTGTTCTTGAAAGAATTTTCTATGGGTTTTCATTCACGCCTGAGAGTCACATTTCACGTCACTATTCATTTAGAAGCTACAAGTACTTACATATAATATATGTTGTATTTTTCAATTGACTGCAAGGATGGCGCTGTGGTTAAAGCGGTCACCGCAGCCTACTGTGCTAAGTGCTGTGGGTTCGATCCCCACGTGGGACATCACTTTTTGAGATCTACAAACTGTTGTCCTGAGGTTCAGTGTTCTTTGTGTCTGTTTCATGTATTTTTATAAAGGTACCCGTAGCTGTCTTTAAAAAAAATACCATAAGCAATCCACAAGGGGTTTATGCACGAATATTTTAAATTAAAAACGTTAAATCTGGTTACGAATACGGGTCGGCGTCCAGACCAGACATATTTCTTTATGTACTACGTGTAGTACTAATTGAACTCACGGTGCCGCGGAAAAGGAATATCCCTAAAGACCACGCTTTAAAAATAAACAAGTACTTTGACTTAACCAACGAAATAACCAAAAATGGTTATGTTGTTGCGTTGTATGCCGTGGAAGTGGGTGCCAGCTAAATACCTCTATAACCTGCTTAAAGACCTTGGATTGCTTCTTAGCAATCCAAGGTCTTTAAGCGGGTTATAGAGGTATTTAGCTGGCACCCACTTCTCTCAAGCTCTCTCGAGCTCGCTTCAGCAAGCTCTTGCTTCAGTAAGCTCTTTTCTTGAACGAATATCCAAAACGGCAGGGAAATCTGTCAAATAAGGTTAGGTAGAGGAGGTTAGCGCTGACGCGTCGCAGGGAGTTTTTAGGGAGTACCTATACCTGGGTCGGAATTCCCAGGCGCTGTTGAATTCGTATGTGTTGACTATCATGACACAATGACCTCTATCACGCGATGGACTCGTCATCCACACGGTGAACCCATGGAACGCAAAGAAATAGGTTTAACCTGAACTTAAATTAAATATGAAATATAGACATACTGTGCTTATAGCTGCAATATTTATATTAAACAAAGACTGCAGTATTACTTTATTCCACTTTTAATTTACAAGATTTAGTCAAAAGTGTGAAGTAAATATAATCACAATTCCTTTATACAAATACATTCATGATCAATGAAGTTAATAGAGAAGTCTTTACACAGAAGATCTTTTTATAAAGAAGTAAAATCTGTGTAGTATATTTTCTTTTATAAAAAGTTCCTTTATAAACTATGTAAATTATATCATAGTCGATAAAACATACGATCCGTCCTTAACCCTTTCATTCCTATTACTCATTGTTTTAAAAATATCATTGTTAAGCTTACAAGATATTTCAGGTATACCATAGGGCAAACTATGGCTCCGGATGGTGGGGTTATAACTCAGCTGAACATATCACACTTGAGAGTTGATGATGGAGGGCTTTTTTCTTGTGTCGCTCATCATGGAGATAACTATGCGGCGCACCATGATAGGCTGAATGTTTACGGTAAGAAACACTGTTTTATTAAATGTTAAATGTAATAAACAGTTTAGAACTTCCTAACCTCCGTGGTAGTATAAGTATATTATAGCAGTCAAAAGAAGAAAGGATAGAGCAAAAAAATAAGCCATTACAATATGTTATTAATATTTGCGACTTTAAAATAACATGCGGAGAAAGATATAGAACAATAAATCCTTTTAAAAAAAGTTGAACCGACTTTAAACAACACTGACAAAGAGCACTAAAATAAAAATATAAGCAAAAAACTATAATATGTACCCTCAATACCCTCAGTAGACTCAGTAACATTATAATAGCAATAGTCCCACACACACACAGGACACACTTTTTGAAAGACTTTCGTCTTAAGACAATGTGGGATCGACGATGAGATTAGATGAGACGCAAGCAATTATCAACTTAAAATGGGGTACTATAACTTTCATTCAGACAGGTTGTGTTGTATAAAATAAGTTTAGTAATTCACAATTAATTATTGAAGATGAACACATTTTTTTATTAAAATCAAAATTGCTAACGTGGTTAACATTAATTGGTTTTACCTGATTGTAGAAATTAAAACTGTTATATTTATTTTTTATTCTGTCTGTAAATTATTTTACATTAGTATAATTATTAATTTGTCTGATATTTGAAGGCTCGAGAACCGCCTTATGACTGCAACCTTAACCGAAATAAAAAGTGAAGCAAAACGTCTAAAATTAAATATTTAGATCGTAACATTAAAAATAATAACATCTTGACATTTCATTTTTCATCCAGAGAATTGAATATTAATAAAGAAAGTTTTTTTATGAACTAATAAAAAACTAGTAAATAAACATAATCTGTTGTATTATCACATGCAGAAAGCCTATTTTCAAAATTTTCGCCAAACCATTGAGTCTTAGGTACAAAACTTTTAACCAAGCTAGTTTCAGACGCAAAATTAACAATTGGTTGCATTTATTGAGCGTAGAAATAATAACTTTTTTATTCTTAACACAATGAATTAAATTAAATAATTTTTACCTGATAAAATATAAAGTAAAAAACAAAATTCTCCAAAAAAATCCTCTTCAACAGTTCAGTATAGATCGGTTTTTCATAATATTCAATACAAAAATTTTGTTTAAAATGTACCTCGTATAATCGTAAAACTGGTATAAAATATCAGGAGCTCATTACCCTCGCAAATTGTAAAGGTTTCAAGTCTCATTACTATGATGTCGGGACTAACGGCACTCGGCTAATTAGGGCGAAATCCGTACCAAATGAATAGTTTCGCGAAATCTGTGTTTTGTATCTTCAGAATTGAATTTTATTTTGAAGTAAATATTTTGCGTTAAATTCAAGATGAGATTTCTTTAAAGCCGTTATGACTGAACAAGAGACCCATCGTTGTATAACAGGGTACCGTTATTAAAAAAGAATAGAACGATTTCTGAATAAGTTTTTTTTCTGCTTTTGTCTTTCTGTGTTCTCTTTTTCTCAGGAATCTGTAAAGGCATCATTCGACTTTAAATAGATATGTCTACAGTCCCTCACATATATTTAGGTAATATAAATATAACAGATATAAGATGAAAATAATTTGTGAGAATTTCGTAAACCTGTTCTGTAACTTGTTCATACAAAATATATTACAATGTAGCACTAAGCAATTAAGAGCACATGTCGTCATAGTCGTATAATAGTGTTGGATCTGACGTTTATTGAACTTTACAAACCAGCTAATTTAAATAATTATCTTAATTTTTTTGACATTAATTTTTAATTATAAATCTGTAAGTATGAAAATTGACATAAAATTGAGAAATTGGGGTTGTTTTAAAATGCAATAAAAATAACAACTAATAATTATACAATTTTCTAGAAAAATCACATGCTTCATTTTACTTTGAGCGATTATCAAATTCGTTAGTTTACCGACTGAATAATATAAAATCTAATACACGTATTATTTTTTCTTGAGCAATAATATTTAGACCATGTATTGTCCAAATATGGTAAAAACTAAATTTCGTATTTTTTTCAAAACCGACATCATTCTACGATCATGACGATGTGGTTTTCATGTATTGTTCTAAAAATTAAACATGATTAACTTTTAAAGTAATCAATCTTATTCATTAATAATAATAATTAATGAACGACTTTAATTCTGCGTTCAGCAGTTGTATGTATGATTTTTAATATTCCATATAAATTTTGCAAAAGGACAAAGTAAACCCTTGTACTCGTATATTGAGTTTATGTTTTGGAATAAAACGGCTGCTAATCTTCGAGAATCTATGCCAGATATAGACGAACTACTTATGAGTTTGTATGAAATCTTCGATGTGCGAATTAAAATTACACCTATGCAGTTTTCTTTTATCTCATCATCATCAACAGCCTTTAACAGTCCACTGCTGGACATAAGCCTATCCTTAGAAAGGAGGTTTTGGCCTACTATACCACGCTGGCCAGGGGTATTCTTTTATCTATCTTCTTTTATTTATCTATCTTTACGAATTTTTGCATATGCTACTTTTTTAAGTATAGCCAATATGTTTTAGAATTTTTATCATGTCTTTTCATGTTTAATTTTGGTAATCTAACACACTTAAAGTGTCATAAATTCCCACAATAAAAATCAGAGATCTGAATGCGAGAAAAAATACTGATACTAAGGGCCCCACAGAAAACATATTGCAATCCACCTTACTTGTCGTCAAACAAACTTCAAAGCAACACTAAAAACAGTAAATATAAGAGACTAAAAATATAAGAGGCAGTATTTAAAATTTAATGCTCTAACTCTAAAACATTACTTCATCCTTCTCTTCTCCAATAAAACTGAAACCAATCTTCGTGGCACATAAAACTGTTATATAAAATGTATTTATTACTGCAGGACCGCCGTACATCCGGACGCAGCCACCGTTTAAAGTGCAGAGCGGACAAAGTGTTACGCTGAAATGCCCATACTATGGATATCCTGTAAGGTAATACGATTATAACATAAGTTACTTATACTCTAATAATGAAATCTTATAAAATTAGATTCTTAACAAGTGGTATTCAAAAACTTTAATTATAGCATTGAAACATGAAAATAAAGCATCAGTTTACTTTGAACGAGATTTAATAACTCTAAAAATATATTTAAGAAGATTCTGGTTCTCACCCCTAAAGTTCAGATATTTTTGCTATCTAAATATAGATTCTATAATACTTTGGGTATTTGTTCTTTTGTTGACGACATTAAACGGCTTCAATGATCCATTGTTCAATAACTAACAATACGTTATTTTTAATTTTACCAAAGTTTTGACTACCATTGAAATAGGTTGAACATCGTCATACCATATTCCAGGTGTCTTTTTTCTTGTATAAAACGTTTTTTTTTTTCATTTCCTTTATTTGAATACTTTAAGGTCTTTATAAACGGTTATGTTCAACATGCTTATATGAACATACTTTTAGCTTTCGCTGTCATTTTTATGATCTCTTCTGAGAACTTCATCAAGATATTTTATAGCGAATAAATAACAGACGTGGGTAATTTTCCGTTAAATTCCTTTGAAGAAAGGAGGTCTTCGTTTTGCGAAAGTGTTAAATTATAATAGAGTAAAAATTCACTGAAGCTTTTCACAATAGAAGTGATTTTCTAACGCTTTAATAAGAGTAAAATTTTGTATGAAAATTGAATAGATTCTTAACTCATGCGATTTTATTATTCTGTTTAAAACTCTGTTTTATACTTCTAACTATTATACTATGCTAAATTTCCAAGTAACTAAGTAAATTATTTAATTTTTCCTTAAAATAAAAACTGATAAAGATTTTACCTGAAGCAGATCATCAGATATCTCGATTAGATCAAAACCACATAGTTGATACAAAAAATTAAAAGACAGTAAAATCAGAAATTATCCAGTAATCTGCTTCACAGGGAAATAACGTGGGAATATAAAGGTAAAGAAATAAACCCAGATATAACAGCACAAAGTAATCGGTACAAGCGATCTGTGAACAACACAGCTAGTATAGAAATTTTTGGCCGAAAACCAAAATTAAGATCCAAGAGAGATCTACTGACAGTATCTAATGGTGGTATTTTAAATATACCCAAAGTTTCCAAAAGTGACAACGGAGCTTCTTATTCTTGTGTAGTCAAGAGCCCCTCAGGAGAAATGGCTAAAAGATCATTTGAATTGCACGTAGTAGAGGCACCTCAACTGGAAGAAATTCTTCTGCCAACGGATTTGCAAGAAGGACAAATTGTCCAGATTCATTGTAATTTGAAGAGTGGAGATTCGCCAGTTTACTATTCTTGGTTGAAAGATGGGAAAAAGATTCCAACGCATCTCAAGGTAATAAACATTTTAAATACTTGTAGAACTAGACATGTATTTCTCAAATCGTTCATATTCAACAAAAAAAAAACGAAAACCTAACTGTTCAAGTCTTTTTGTGAACAGCTTTTAAACATAATAAGTTTAAATCAAATTAAATATACTCTTGACTGTTTTTTATTGAAACTAAGAATTATCATTTAAATTAACTGATCCTAAAATAACATAACCCAAATTTATAGAATTGCGTCATATTCAAGAACGATTTAATATAAATATTGGACATACCTTCCCAGATAGCTGAAATGTTGAATAATTTGCAGATTGTCGAGAGGAGTTTGGAGGTCTTCAGTGTGCTTATAATAAAGAACGTATCTTTGGATCATTGTGGCACTTATACTTGTGTGGCTGCCAACCACGTAGCCAAAGTGAACCGAACAGTGAATTTGTATATAAAAGGTAAGTTCTCGTGTATTTTTTAGCACGATTTTATTACTTTGGTATGTTTGTATGTATGTAACAGAATCTTCGAACGTGATTTGAACCCACTTCAGAACGTCGAATTAAGTTAACACAATGCCATAATTTGATAAATTCGGATGATGATCATCCTGAGCATCATCGTCAGGATTAACGGGTTTTTCCATTAAGCCTAAAAATACTGTAGTGTCTTTTGCTACTTACTCAGAGGTATGTTTGAAACATATGGTTTCTTACTTACTTGTTACTTTTCATTAATGAATTTAACAGCAAAAATAAATTATAGATTAAAAAAAAACTAAAAAATACGCTTTTTTAACATGAACCATTTTATCTTATAATATATTAACTTTACTTTTACCAATATCTATCAATAAAATGTTTTTAAAACAATTGAGATCTAGCAATAAATGATTTTTCATTTTGAACTTATAGAAAATTATTTTCTACTATGTAGTTCGTCTTGTTACAAAAGCGTCTTTTTTAATTTTTTAAACCATAATTTATTAATGGTATAGGAAAGCAGTCCACCGCTGGACATAGGCCTCTCCCATTGCACGCCACTTAGTGGACTGCGATGAGCTGATGATGGTGATAGGAAAGCAAACGAGCAGAACTGGTCACCTGATGGTAAGTATCTATCGCCGGCCATGGACACCTGCAACTCAAGAGTCATAAGTGTACTCATAAGTCATAAGTGTATCTTTGCATCCTCCCCTCAGAGTCAGGAGGAGAATGAGTTTGGGCTCAGGTAACCTCACTAACCCAGTGAAAAGCAACGAAATAATTGTTTAACACCGGTTTTCTGTGAGGCCATGATATTACTCCGGTTGAGCTGGCCCATTTGGGCATGGCTCTCCCACGGTCGGTTAAATATGATATATTTTATAACTTTTTTAACAGACTTTAAAAAGGAGAAGATTATAAATTCGGATGTTATTAAAAAAAATGTATGTTCGGGCATAACTCCGTCATATATAGATGGATTTCAGAATTCTTTTTTGTTCGAAAGGGGTTTATTCCGAAATGGTCCCATTTAAATTTCATATAGATCTAATGATGAGTTTCGGAGACAGACAAACTGAACTCTTCGAAAACTGACAGCAAATCAACCGCGATAGCTGCTAGGTTTTTAGTGTTCTTTGTTAGAATTGTTCGAAGTTGGTGCATTTGTTTTAATAATAAATACTGTCTTTTCCTGCCGCTTCTATCGCGTTAAAGTAATTACTTTATTCCAATAGTCCTTTTTTTATGGATGAAAGATATTCTTCTTCTCTATTCGGCTTCTCTATATACTTCGCAACGTGTATTTGAAATTTCATGTAAAACTGTTTGTCGGGATGGCAGCACAAAACATTAAAGATTTTTATGTTTTCAGGATAAATTATAAAAATTTCAGTATACTTTATTTTTAGAATTTCCAATAGAGCCTTAGTTTAAGAGTAACTTGAAGTAAATTTAAGCGAGCTAAGAGATTTTGCTTTGTACTTTTTATTATCTACGCTTAAATTGTAGAATTAAATCTAAAACATTTAGCGCTTAATGTGTATCAAAAGATGTTACCGGATAAGTTTTTATTTATACAAGTATCTGCTAACAATGTACTCCTATGGGAGGACAATCATATACTATAATTATGCATTCCTGTATATATACACAACACTCGTATTATAATTTCTCTAAATATAGGCTCATTACGAAGAATTTCTCATAGTCTGTTATTCAACGTTCCAGTATGCCGTTGCAATGAAAGTTTTCATTTTATAAAACACGCATTTTTTTAATAAAATTAAATATTTCTCATGCAACATTTCAAAATTATAAACTGAAACTCTATTTAATAATAAAACTAGCAGTCTGGATTTCAAATTAGTTTTCAACAAGTGTCGTATCGTCGACCACGCTTCGCTTCGCTTTAGTTTTAGTATCAACTAAGTTAGATAATTGGTGCCCAGTTACGCGAGATCCCGAAAAATATTTTTTCACTTACCTATTCAAAAATATAAAAAAAATAATGAAAATTTATACAATGTTTTCGTTATCTAAGTAACGTTTACATTAAAAATGTTTCATACAGTCTAATGAATATTTTAGATGATAATATTTACATATTCAAAAAGTTATGACACGGAAAACACTTTACGTTGTCGTTTCTTTTCCTTCTTAGAAATCATCTCGGCGTTATGAATTTTCAGTATTATTATCTAATGGCTCTTCAAAGTAAATTATATGTCATATTTTATCAAGAATCTGAATAAATCTTCTAACTTAAAAGAATTGTGAATTAACATAATTGGTTTTTGCATTTTTGTCTTTATTCTATTTATTTTTTTCTACAGCCAAGGGGTTCGACTTGTGTCTTTTAAAGTACCATAGAAGTTCAAAATTTAATCTTAGAAAAGTCAGTACACTTTCCTAAAAAATATTTTTTAAATTTTCTAAATCAAAAGTCTTTATTCTGCAGACTTTAGAACATGTTGCTAAAGCGTTCTGTATTTATGTACGAGTATAAAATATTGAAAATCTTCTATTTGTTTTGAAATATTACATTTTAACTTTGAAACTATTGCGTTTCATAATTATGTAATTGTAAATATATACTCGTAATTATGAATATGGAATAAAATTTGAAATCAGTTTTCACGAGTTGGTAAATTGTGAAACCCATATCATGTAAACACAGTTCTTGTCTACAGTAAACCATAAAAGCACTAGTGCTTTAAAAGTACTAGTAGTGTTAAGCATTATTAATTATAATTTGTACTGTTTAAAAGACTGACGTTTCTTTTCTTAGCAAATTGTAATTTTTAGGATTTAACACGCTCTTTCACAAATAGTTTTACAGCGATTGGCGTGCAATAAAGTCATTTAAAAAAAAGAGATAGATTTACAACGAATTAAACAATATTTTCAATATTTTTTAATTATTTCAAACTGTTATCGTACAACGCACGCCAGGGCTGTAAAAAACACGATTGAGATGAATGATCTATCTATAAAAACACTGCAAAACACACTTTTAATAAAAACTCAGCTTTTAATCTCTGATTTACCTGATTATTTCGAATTTCATTATTTTACAAAGCTAATTAAACCCTTCCTTCCTCGCCTTTAATAATAAACGTATTTTATTTGTAACGCTTCTTTCCATTGGCTTAATTTAACATTTCTGCTACGTATTAATATAACTACAGTACATTAAATTGTACTTATAAAATTTATAATTGGAACGTGCCGACACAGCTATAAATTCATAACAAGATAAAAGGTGTCAGTAGATTCACGGTTTGGTTTTATACTCAAATAACAAACTGAACAATGGTGAGCAGGTCAAATAGTCGCTAGGCTAATAGTTCTAGAGTGATGGCAATCAGATACTTATCAATAAAAAAATGTTATCAGTTTATTCGAATATCCGGAAAAAGCTGAAATGGAAATCAGTCTTTACTTCTTTTAAGAAGTGTTTTTTTTTTAAGGAAAAGGTGATCACAAAAAGTCTATCATAGCTTTTAGTAATAACAAAGTTATGATCTTTTGTAGGGCTTTCATTTAAAAACTTGATGTTTTACTTTAATAAGTTTTTATACTACTGATGTCACCCCTTGCCTTGTGATTTTAAGCCTTTTTTTCTACCTATAATCAACCAGATGTTGTTACTGTATATATTCTCTTCAACTATAAGTTAACCCATTATCAGCTCATTATCTCTCTGAATATGTTCTCTTCAATTATAAGTTAACCCATAATCAGCTCGCCTATTGGCCTAGCTTTGTTCAAAAGTTCAAATGATCTACTGACTATGACTAGGGCTTTGCATGACAGTGGAGATTTTCTTACACATGAATTCCTTATATGTGACGGTCAATGAACATACGAGTTTTACGGTAAATGCGACTGTTAGGTAAGCCAAGTCTTTATTAAACGGTTCTCTTCTTAACACCCTTTACCGTCATAACTATAATCACCTCAAGAAGAGTGAAGGGTTCGCTGTAAAACGGTGTTTGTTTGGTAGATGTGTCAATAATTGGAGCCATTTTCTAGATTTCTCTATATGCTCCTTTTTGGCCTTGGTGATTCTTCTCGACAACAGTATTTAAGGGAGTTGTCTTATATTTATTTATATTTGGAATACAAATTCCCCCATTCATCTGTCTAGCCTGTAATCAATATAGTATATGACGTTCATTTAGTGCTCAACGAACTGTTTTGGTAAATTACCGGTGTGAATTGCGCAGGTTGAATAAAAAAAAATTGAATTTAGTCTTTTTTAGCTAGCTTTATTATAACAGTGAGTGAGATTATAAGAGCCCAACTCCCTTCTCCTAATTCTCAAAGGGCCTCAACACACTACACTTGTGACTTTAATTTAAAAAAAACGGGCATCTAACACACAACGCCATCTAGTTTCAAACTAAGCAGAGCAAGTATTCTATCAGTCAATCTAGCTGTCCTAGTACAATGACAGCTAGATTGACTGATAGAATACTTTTAGGTGCAGGAGTCAGCCCAGGGACTTCCTTTCTAGGGTATACCTGGTTCCCCGGCTATTAGTACCCGAGACGGCGTGCGGTTTTAGTCGGTTCGAGTTCGACATGCCACCGACAGGTGGTATCCGAGGGGATTTCCGCACGGAAAAAAAAAAAAAAAGGTGCAGGAGTCAGCAGGAGTCATTGACTGCACGAATGGCGTAGTGGTTTAAGCGGTCACCTCGTCGCTTATTACTACGCTGAGTATTGTGGGTCCGATCCCCACATGGTACGACACTTTGTGTGATCCACAAATTGTTGTTCTGAGTCTGGGTGTTCTTTGTGTCCGTTTCATGTATGTTTGTAAAGTCCCTCGCGACAAGATATATTCCTAATGTGGGAGTTGTCTTTTTAATAAACAAAAAAAAATAGACACAGTCACCTACTATCAAGTGTCTCGGCTGCTCGTTTGCCTTCTACCTTACCTTACCTTTAAAAAATGCATGCATATGTTTAGTACTCTAAATTTGTGGCTCTGTCTATAGACGCATTTTTTCCTGAATATTTTCTTTGACAGGAACTTTTCTTGTTGTTAGAAACTTGATTGATGCTTAAAAACATTTTTATTTGGTATTGAAACAGGTATTTGTCTTTCTACAAGCTTGATAGAACGTCATGACCAAAACGAAAATGGTACAAGCTTACTCAAGAGAAACCTATTCACTTAATACTGTTGTTCACAGTTGCTCCTAAATGGAGCGAAGAACCTCAGAACTCATCACTGCTTCTAGGACGTGGTGGACACATATCATGCAGCGCAAACGGTTACCCTCAACCTCAAACACACTGGCTCAAAAAAGATAGTGAGTAGAATTTTCATGTTTTAAAGCATAAATCATATGATTAACAAACATTTTGATGACGTACGAGGCAAAAGATCGTGCAGGTAACCTTTTTTAATTTTACCAAACGACTTATATACCTTTTAAGAACACTTGTCAATTAATTTGAATATTAAACATTTTCACATCTACAGTTACTTGTATAGAATTAATATATTATTCCATCTATTCATTTTCTCGCTAAACTAATAAAGCTTTGGTACCAATATACTCATGTTAATACCAGGCTGTCGGTTGCTTTATTAAGAAATCGATAGTTTATTGAACACGCTAGTTACAGTTTGTATATCATCTTGTCAATATTTTTGAATAAATATTGAACAGGTGTGTGAAAGTAAGACTTTCTTTGTAAAATAAAAAAACGTATTTTCATTTCATAAGCATTTCTTAGACCTACTTTATTTTCTGTCAGTTTTTATGATTTTTATTTATTTTTCGTCGGTTTTTATTCAACCCTGAGATTTTTCAAATGTTAATCTATAAAAATCAGAATGTCAACTTTTATAAAATCATTATTATTGATTCAACAAGATTGATTACGTTACATTTTTAAATATTCATCTGATGTCTGTCGTTTCACGAAATTGCGGCAAATGTGTTTCGGATACATCAACCACAAACACGCTACAAAACACGAGTGCTATGAATATTTTCCGTACACACAACAACATTATAACGGGTAATTCACCAATTGGTATTTCAACAAATTTATAGTGCCATTCATAAAATAAATTAGAGCTAAAACTCGGCTGCAGAAAATTAATTTCTATGAATTACCTATGGGTAGTATTTTGCCCTACACAAAGGAATTGTGAAAATTATATTTAATTCCTCTCGTGGAAAATTTCCAGCGAATTCAGACGAAATTTATATTCATTAATTTGCATTAAATTAATCCAACTATGTCAAATGGCGGCAAATATGTTGTTCTGTTGAGCCAAGGTCTTTTAGAACTACATAATGGTGTGTGTATCTTTTTGTCTAGTCCCAAGGTTACCCCATACCTTTTAATTTCCTCATTTTCTCAAAAACCATGAAAACTGGTTTCTTAATAACGTATTGTTTTAGAATTATTGTGAATAGTACTTAAAGAAGATTACTGTTGTGTTTACCTAATCTGAAACTTCAGTTATATCAGAATCTTGGAGACCAGTACTTGAGGTCGCAGGTGGAGGAGTTCTCAGTCTTTCCAATGGATCACTGATATTTGATTCTGTGGCACTTTCCGACGCTGGACTGTATACTTGTCATGTTGAGAACGGAGTGGGAGAAGCTCTTAGCAAAACTGTGTGGATCTCAGTTAACAGTAAGTTATAACCGTACTCTATATCTAATACGAGTATATGGTAACTCTAAATGAAAAATGTTTTCTATGTTAAATAAATAAAGAATTGGTTGGAGTTCTAAAAAAATCTTTTCTTTAACAATAAATAGGACAAGGGGCTCAACATATAACTATTTAACATAAATTCATGATAAATCATTTCTAAAAGTAAGGCTTTTCAGAAGGATATATAAAAAATGTTTTAGTTTTCTCTTTAAGTCAGGGAAATCAAGTTCCAAAATTGAGTGACATTTGTAACTCTGTTCAAACTTGTGTTACATCCTATATTTACTGCTAAAAAGAAATCGGATAATGATTGTTTTAATTAATATTATTTAAAACAGAAAATATGATTTATGTTGTGATAGAAAGTGTGTAAACCTTTTATAGTTTACTTTAGAATAGTACCTACAAAATACGAGTTTGATTTTATTTCAGCTTAAATAATTAGTTAAGTTAAAAGATTATAATTTAATACGCAGCATTAAGTTTAAGGTAAATTTTAAGACCTAACCTTCATTCATCTCAAGAAATTTAAGTGGATAATAGCTGAAATTAAGGATCTTGGTCCTTCGAAACATTTTAGATCAAAACTGAATTTACAACGATAAATTGCATTTAAAAATAACTTGAGAAGAGTAAATTTTAGGTAATTTTTAGAGCATGATGAGAAATCTGTACATAAACCATTTCATTAAAAAAATAAAATCAGTTATCACTTCGATAGATAGGCCGAACGAAGAATGTAATATATTTAATTTTTAAAAATACATAGATTTTACGGACTCACCAAACAGTGGTCTCTCGTGAAGAAGTTGATCCAAAATATGAATTATATGACGTTTACGACAGAGATAACTATTTCATGACATACCCCGAGGCTAGGACAACTCATTGTATTACAATGATATCGGTTGAAATTGACTCTAGTTTAGAAGCTTTGCCAACCCATTAATTTAATATATCGACTAGCCTGTTGTTTACGTGATTAGTGATCTTGATTGCTGACTGATCGGTTTGTACTCAAGACATCATCATTATCATCATCATCAACAACAGCCTTTAATAGTTCACTGCTGAACATAAGCCTAACGGCCTAGTATAGGCCTTAGAAAGCTAAACTACGCTGGCCAGACGGGTTTTTTATAAATTTATTTATTAAACATCTGTGAAACATATTTTTCATAATTTAAGTCTGCCAAACTGTCAAACAGTTTATCGGCAGAAGTTCTCTTTCAAGGACACATAACACCTATAATGTATTGTAATACCTAATTTGTTAATATTTTAAATTATTGTGTCAAGTACATTAGCAGACTATGTCTTCAGAGTAATAAAAAAAGTTATATATTAGTTATGGACAGAACGATAGGTAAAGTTTGTTGAGTGTATTTTTAAATTTGAAATTTTGAATGACCGAAGATAGACCGAAGTTTATTACAAACATTGCTTACATGTAGGTCCCATGTGAATGTATCGTTCACCACTAGCCCTAGGTATTTATAGGAGGTGACTCGCTCTAAAGTTAAGCATCGACAGTGCTGCATATAGTTATGCATACATTCGTACGTACAGTAATTGAAAATTATGTATGTTTATGATAAGGGGAGTGCATAATCATGCACTTAAAATCATTTTGCATGTCTTCTTGAATGACATTGATGTTTTCATGGCTATAGACCAGATATGTGTCATCGTCACACATAAGTGCCATAATTTTTTTAGTACATGACATCAAGACATGCTATTGACGTGTATTATGTATCACAACGGGCCATAAAGAGATGTCTATCCCATCTGGAATAAAGATATGAGTGTATTATGTATGGAAACTACAAATATACAAATTATGGAAGCACTTTCTTTTCTTCTTTAATTTTACTACACTGATAATATAACAGCCTATCTATCGAACTGATAACTGATTTTCATTTGCATGCAATGAGAGAGGCCTATGTCCAGCAATAGACTGCAATAGGTTGATGATAATGATGAATAATGTAACCAAGAGTGTATGGACTAATTTTTAAGAATAAAAATAGTTCAACTGTTAAGCATAGATCTAGCAAAATATAAGAGTAACTAAGTTTGGACGTCACATCACATCTACAGCCTATAATAGTCCACTGCTGGTCATAGGCCTCTTCATAGAAAAGAGGTTTTTGCCTATTATACCACTCTGGCCAGACGAGTTGGTATAGGGTTTGTGTCAAGTTTTCCTTCTCTTTGCAGTGCCGTGGTCCTGCGTAGTTTGCCCCTTTAGTCGGCTCTTACGACACCCACGGGATGAATAGGGTTGGTGACATTCAGTATTTTAAATCCGTCACCACACGGACGTCAACCAATACCTATTAATGTAATTTCTCTTTGAAATGAATCTAAAAACTTAATCATTGTGTAGTTTGGGTACATAAATAATGATCTCTGACCGTTTTGTATGAATATATTACAGTTTCTGGGTAAATCAAAATTGTAGAGAGATACCTTTGAAGAGAACTTTGTTCCCCAATAATTTTAACTTCACTTTCCACACAATTGATGTTTTACGTGGCACTTTAGTTATGAAGCTATCGTATAAAAAGTCTTGGGCATGTCGAGTTTAAAAGTATTAAACTTGACATGTCTAAGGTTTTTTATTTCTCGTATAAAGTTTACTTTAATATAGTAGGTTAAGATTCTATTCCTCGATTTGAATAAAAGAAACATTTCAATACTAAAAATATTCAACATATTATATTGAATAGAACATGATTGGGCAACTTACGTGAAAAACAATTTGAATGCTTTGTGAATTTATAGATGATTAATACCAAGGCCGTGGTTAGGCTTTACATCATCATGATCCTAGCCTTTTTCTCAAACTTTTTTTTTTGGGGTCGGCTTCCAGTCTACTGTACAAAATATAAAAAAAGTAAAATTAAAATTGAGAAGAGACCTAATTTAGAAAAGATTATTAACCAAGTCTAGATATACAGTAGGTCTTTAATTTTGGCTACTAATGCCATATAACTCATAATATTGATGCTCAATGAAATCGGGAATCGACCTAATATGCTTTGGATTATCAATACAATTACAAAATCAGAGGAAACAGACAGTATAGAGATTTGATTACGTATCAATACTAATTGATCTCTAATTAGATAGCTATTGATATTATTATAATGTTACAATTTACAAAAAGAGTTAACAGAGAAAACAGTCACAGAAGTTCTGCCGAGTTTCTGTAGTGAAGTCGGATTAAAAGTGATAAGCACACTGATGTATTTTAATTTTAACACAGTTTCGACGTGATATTTCGTTACACATCCATGGCTGGTGAGATCAGTATTTTACTACTATCGAATACTATCATAATAAGCAACTACACTCAACAACAAGGTCATATTGCTCCTAAACACACTTCGTAGGTCGACTGAGGATTTTTCGAGTACTTAATAAATACGACCTTTAATCCTGTTTGATTCAAGGCCATATTTTGTGAAAAAGTTAACTGGCACGTTAGTCATAATATGCAGTAAGCACAATAGGATATTCTTCTTTGAATATTTCGTTGTTATTAGATATCTAGGGTTTATCTTTATATATATATAGTATATAGTATAGTATATATATAGTTCCGGTGATATTAAGGAGCCAAAAATATTAACCTTTTTTTACCAACATTTTTTGCTTCCTGAAAACCTGTCTCAATTTAAATATTTATCAGATTCATTAGATGGCCGCCCGATTAAAGTATCGCTGGCATTAAGTCTGTCGGATAAAAGCAAGGGCAGTCTTTTTTTTATTCAAGACAGTGTAGGTTGTTAGAACAATTTGGAACAAACTCTACGTTTTATTTAGGTAAGATATAACCCGCTTCTTGTCTATAGGAATACTACATACAGTAAATTATTACCACAACTAAATTGTAACCTTAACTAAGTATTGGCTCTAAGAGATCATTACTTTCCAGAACCGGTAACTTTTGACATTATCTCAAGAAATCTAACTGCTAAGCTTGGCCAGCATGTTACTATTGAGTGTCAAGCAAAAGGTGATGATCCTATCAGGATTATGTGGACACGAAACGGGAAACCTATTAACCCATTAACGCAGAGGTAAGAAGAGACTTCACTGTATTAAGTGTTTAGCGCCAAATTCTCAACAGTTTATCAACAATCTCTTTCTTAATCCTTGACAACATTTTCAAAACACACGGATTTTTAAAGCTATCTTCGTTAAAGAAAAGACAATTAATATGTACTGTGGTTTTCAATGTTGTATTTTGTTCTAGAGTAAAAATATCTGAAGCAAAAACAGAAGATGGAATGGCTAGTATACTAGAGCTACTACAAACTGAAACTAGCGACGGTGCATTATATCAGTGTAGAGCTGGCAATCCGTTTGGAGCTGACGTGTTCAGCGTACATCTAACTATACTAGGTATGATTAATTTACTAACTAAGCACTGCCCTAATTACTGCGTTGTATCATATCTAGTTTAATGAGTTAACTAGTAAATTTCCATTTACAATTAATAATTTAATTTTCAAAAATTTACAAAATAAAAATATAAATAAAATTAAAGGTATTCACGTATTGAAAAGCTATTCTCTATAGCAAATAAAGTTACAAGTAAACCTAACTTTTACGCTGTAGGATTGCATTGCTGTTGCAAAAAAAAACAGGACAGGTATAATGTTAACTCGTATAATTTTAACATCTATCTTTCTAATGTGATTCGTCTTGCGAATTATTATTATAAACGGTTTTACTCACTTAGTAGTAGTAGACCTAATAAAATAGTGATAGGCCACAATTATTTCATTGTAGAAATAACTTTTAAACGGATTGGTGGGTCTTATAATATCGCATCAATGTTATAAGTTGTATTAAGTATGTTTAAAAATAAAATAAATAAAACATACTACCCTTAAAGTTAATGAATACGAGTAACTTATGTAAAATTGGTGAACATTTAATCATTTCTAATCGTAGGCATTTAGCAGCATCATACATAATACTGTCACATATTAAGTGTTGCCACTACTAAAGTCCCCGTCTCTTGCCAAATGTGGTAATTACGCGTAATAGAGTATGCCGATATCGTTCCGGAATAATTTACTACATTCCAGGAGATACCCACATTTAGTAATGAAGATTGCGGAGAATTTAATACATGATCTCATTAAGTAGCATCATTAGACTTTGCAGCTGCACATATAGCTTTCATTACCCTATTTATTTTACATTTCATCAGCGAAATTCTAACAATGCGTACGTTAGAAATATCTCCTCTACAGAAGAACAACCATTTACAGTTCTACTGTAAGTGGTGCACAATTTTGTGTCTGTTATTCACAGCGAAAACCAACTGCTTTTTGTAAAAAATATTTTTAACAGGCAGGTTGAACTATTAATTCTGTATCCATTAAAAGTTTAAAAATTAAATTGCAGTTTAAAAATCCGTAAACAAGTATCTTGTGATTGACCCTGTAGGTTTCTTATTCAGAAAAATTCAGCGCTACCGATTAGCTGTCGTCTTTCCGTTTGGTCGAAAGGAAGCACCCTGATTTGACATCTAATGATATCAAAATGATAAAGACACATAAATAAATAATCAATGTTGAAACTTCACTACATTTAAGCTACTATACTTACGCTGTTCTTCTTTTAGAACCACCAACACCGCCATCAGATTTATCCGTAGACTCCATAAAGAGCAGGTCGGTTAAGTTATCTTGGAGAGACATGGCGAGATCACTTGCTCAGTATTACAATCTTCAAATTACCAACAGTCAAAGATTATCGTGGAATAGTGCCAAAATTATCAATATTACCAGGTAAGTCATTTGTGTGAGATTACCTACTTTCGAAGTGAGATACATGGTATGGTGTTAATAAATATACTACTGTTGACAAAAAAAAATGTAAAAGAAAAAGTCCTTTGAATTTAATTGCTCAGTCAGACATTTTTTTTTGTGTATTTCACATGACATCTTCGCTAATGTAGAATTCCAAATTTTGAAAACATTCCAATCTTAAGGGAACTTAAGCGAACTCTGAAAAATTCAACTTATTACAAGTTATCATAATTGAGGTGTATTGAAGTAATTGATCCTTTTTATAAAAGTTAATTTCATCTATATGTTATACACATCTTGTACTCAGGCGGACTTCATGCACAAAACATTATCAATAAAAACATCATATTTTTGAGTATGAGCGGATATACAACATAAAAATGAGAGCTTCCAAATTTTAATACCTCATTTATGAAATACTTCTTCTGACTCTTTAATTGAGTTTAAACACTTTAATTATTCAAAAGTTGTTCACTCGTATGAGAAAGTATTTTCATGAATATGTAAATTGTAAAGCAAAACAGAGCAGTAATATAATCGCGGGAGCTTATTCTGTCTATTGCGAGGTAATATTGTTGTTCTTATAATAAGCTTTTTACTTTAAATATCTTCATAAAAACATTTACTTTCAACGATCAAAGCTACTTGTCTGATGTAAAAAAAAAATCCTCAAGGTTCTTTGTACAATGGAAAAGTTGGCGATAAAGACTGTTGGCGAAAAAGCAATTTTGCCAAACTTTTGAACTCAACAACTATTTCTAATTAAAGCTTTTTTCTAGATAAATATTGTGCTCTTCCTTATAATTTAATCGTATATTATTTGTGACACATTTTAGGTATCGTACTTTACAGTTTTTAAATCTACCAAAATAAGCTCCCCCAGGACAATTAGACAATAATTTTCTTTTTATAAGACTGTCAGTTTTATGTGTTTTAAATCAGCCATAAATTTTAAAAACCTTATAAGAAAATCGACTTTATAGGTAAATATAATTTCAAATTCTGTTTTGTTATTTTTCAAAGAGTCATAATTATGCTTTAGATTAGACGAAATACGTCACATCATAGAGGTTGAAGACTTACTGCCGGCGACTAGTTATACCGCAAGAGTGGCTGGTGGTAACCAAGCCGATTTGAGTCATTATTCAACCCCAGTCAGATTCACCACAACTGAAGAAGGTAAGGAGCTTAAAGTATTTCTATAGACACTGACTTTGACACAAATATATGTAAGTTTCCAATGCAAGTAAACAGGGCCTCAATTTTGCTATGTTAAAATTCAATCAATAGACTGTCGATGGAATGTCGTCGGAATAGTTTTGGACTTTTCGTATTCTAATAACTATGTAAGACCAATGGCCTCCCGATAACTTATCACTGAAATGCCACTGATACAAGATGATACATTGTCACTACATCGATAGTTTATTGACACTGTGATTGTCGATGTCAATCGCATTTCAATAGTGTGTCAATAGAATGACAGTGACTTTTACGTTAACATAAAATGACAGAATTGACGCCCAAGTTATTGTATCCCTTGGCGTTACGTAGAGAGTGGCTTCACTCTGCATTCTCTATTGCATATATCATGGAGAGTGCTCCGAGGAATTCCGCCACTTCCGCCGCAACTTTCCGCCATCGTTTTACACGGCAAAATTTTCATCTTCATCACCTGGATACTTGATACTTTTTTCCCCGCACAACCAATCTACGTAACGGGTAAAAGTATTAGATATAAATTACTACTTCATTCTTCTCTTTTGTTTTAATTAGAAACTCTTTGAGGTATCACTATTTTCTTGTTAAGTGTATTAAGAGACGGACAATGAAACCATTCTTTATTATACAAGTTTTTGAGAACATAAATTCATGGCATCTCTGACTTTTTTGCAATTATTAAATAATGAGTAAAGTCTTATCAACATTTTTAAAAAGTACTTCCAACTAATCCAGTTCATGATACGGGAAATGCCTAGTATGAGTACTTTTAATATATTTTAGGGTTGATAACAAGTTACTTTAGTCAAATCGAGTTCAGTTTAACTCGATTTAAATTAGTTTGGATTGTCCTTCACTCGAGTTTGCACTTGATGAACATAAAATAATATGGAATGCTTCCTTCGCTGATGTTTATTGGTATTTGCCTTGAATTATACTTTCTGAATTGCATAATTATGGTTTTTGCGAGGTTAATTTTCAAGTTTATGGACTCCAACCATTTGTTTATTGTTTTTAACGTAAGCTTTATCTCGTGTTAAAAATCTGGATCATTTAAATGATCATTTGTAAAATATATGTTAGCGTTATCAGAATACTATACAAAGGGCCGAGTATGATTGCTCAATTTCTGCATATTGCCTAAGAGTTTGAAATTGTAAAACAATAATTGAAAATGAAAACTCAAAATTTTACAAGCACAAAACAACCAGAAGATAGAAAGGTACTAAAAGAAAAACAATTTTGATTAAGAAAATAATTAAGTCCTTTTATTAACATGATATATAACGTGCTAAGGGTACCCTAGATACGTTTTATTATGTTGTACAATGCCATGTTAAATGGAAGTTTCGTAAACTATTATAGTGAGCAACGGGCACATGTCGAATATCGACACTACTGCCACTTGGTACCCAAATTATTAACCTCATAATCTTTATTAGTGTTATATATGCTTACAGTTGCCAATATCATCGATGATACCTATTGATATTAGTTAGATATGTCATGTTGAGTTTAATCAATGGGTTTCATTATAAGTAAAGCCGTTTGTGGGAATTGCCAAAGGCGTTTTCGGTTACATCATTTTGTTTGTTTTAGTTTGAAATAGACACAATAGAAACAACACACCAATTGCGTGTGCTTGGTCCATTGTTAATTAAGTATTTTTAGGATCCCAGGTTTGTGCGTAGGTAGGAAACTGAAGTCGATGGTTCGATTAAAAGATATGAAGTGCAAAATTTTCGCGGGTAATTATGCAATTCATTTGTCTGCTGATCCATAAGCAGAATTACAAAGAATACCTAACCTAAACTGTGTTTGTTTCATTTAGTATTAAAAAGTTGGTGAGAAACCATTTCACTGTGCACTGTCCAGGAATTATATAAATCTTAACAAAAATAGTATAGAAAATACTGATGCAGACTTATGCAGTATATATCAGGCGTAAGTGACTTGAACCAAAAAATAGCTATCAAAGTGTTTATTTCTACTTTTTGATGTTTTGACAATATAAACGTGGAACCTCTGAAGAATCTTTGTCAACTAATCTGATGAAGAAATGGGATTTCATGGGTTTTCTGTAGGGTTCTCCAACAAACGGAAAGCTCCTTTATTTATACTCACACGAAATTATCATACCAATATGTCATATTCTCCGGTTTTCTTTTTTTCAGTTGTTTATCTATGGTCTAATTGTGTTATGTATCTATGGGTTATTAACAATCATTAAATATGTTATTAAGGGTGTAGTGTATAGGATGCCTAAGTAATAATATTGTAATTATGTTCCACGTGTAACCCCATTTCTATCTTATTTAACCAATGAATGTTTTAATAAATGAGTAGTCATACTCGAGATCTGGTTGTTTCAATGTGTCTCCAAATACATCCCGTACATGGTGACTCTGCCATTTATATCTTAGTTTCAATCTTATTTTTTCCACTAGCACCATCATCGCCACCACTTGGAGTACAACTGGAGCAAACAGAGTCACCAGGAGAACTCAAAGTGAGATGGTTACCACCTCCAGCTGATAGTCACAATGGAATTATATTGGGCTACCGACTGAAAGCTATACCTCAATTAATAGGATTAAAAGGTATGCAGTACTCTGACCATAATTTATCAAACACCAAAGACTACGATAATTACAATCAGATCATCCTTGATGTCTATAAAATACTTTTATTGTGAAAGCGCGGCACCTGATCTTAATATTTTATTTTATATTTTAGAAACAGAAGAAACGAGTGATAAAACGATAAAAACTGCATCCCTATATGCCAAACAGGAAACAATTATTACAGGATTACTGAAAGGAGTCAGGTATAAAAACTCATTTCACTGAAAGTTTGTATTTTTATTAAGAGAACTACTGAAACTAAACCAAAATAGTATATATAAATATATGTATATGATATAACTGCACGGATGGCGTAGTGGTTTAAGCGGTCGCCACGCCGCTTACTACTACGCCGAGTGTTGTGGGTCCGATCCCCACATGGGACGACACTTTGTGTGATCCATAAATTGTTGTTTTGAGTCTGGGTGTTCTTTGTGTCCGTTTCATGCATGTTTATAAAGTCCCCCGCGACACAGGATATATTCCTAATGCGGGAGTTGTCTTTTTAAAAGCAAAAAAAATAAAAAATAAAATAACGAGGTAGACGTTAAATAATTTTCTTTTTTATTTCTTAGGTACGCAGTATCTGTATCGGCATTTAATAGCGCTGGTTCGGGACCATACTCAGTCCCCCTGTTTCAAGACACGAGAGAAGGAGGTATGCGATATATATTCAACCATTTTTTATTTTTTAAGCAATTGATAGAGAATGAATGATTTTTTTAAGCAATAGAAATATGAATGGATCTTTAGTAGAAGCGTGCTTATTAAATGATGTGTATTTATAGATTGCTTTATTTTTTTTTACTTTAATAAATAACTTCGTATCGCTCTCTAAACGCCTTAATTTTAAATAACTAATTAATTAATAACCCTTAATGATTTAAATAAACTGCTTCAATACCTTTCTTTGGATCTAAAAGTTCTTAGTGAAATATGTAACTTAAAAATGTGGCACCATATTAAGCTAAACACCACTATAGTTTTTACTAATTACTTGATCATTCAAGTTAGTTGTTTTATGTGTATTTACTTTTAGATTACAGTATCTATAAAACCAAGAAATTATTATTTGAAAACGTTCAACATCAATGTGCCGTTTAAGTTATGAATAGTGTGTAATCGTCCTAAGCCGGCAGAATACAGAAGCATGTGCTCATGTTAGTCTCTATAGTTCATAAATTTAATATTGTAGCATACATTTAATTAAATTTGAAAATATTCTTAGCTTTGCCCTATTCTACAGTCCTCTATAGACTCAAAAATCTCGCATAGAATAAACAATAATGGTAAACTTACACATATTGTACACAAACAACATCTAGACCAAGGCATATCCTTATGGCGCCAAAATACTTGTTTTGTGTTTTAGTTTCATAAATAAAATTATTAATTCTGTAAAACGGTGGGTTTTTTTGAAAGTTTTTCAGTTAAAAGTAATCCATCCAAAAATAGAAATAGAAACACAGAGGACCTTTTTGTGACTTTCTTGCCACGAGAAATGGTATATTTACGGATTATTCATCATTCGTTCCCTCTCTTTTTTATAAACCTAATCCTCTTAACCTGTAATTAGTCAACGCTGATAAGCTAATGTCCTTCACAGACATTATCACACCGTTCATGGTGAGTTTCTGCAGAATTTTATCTTACATCAACTATGTAAATTGCGGAAACTTGGCCAGAACAAACTTAGTACGGAGAAGCTTTATCTTCTACATTAGCATTTGAAACTTTTATGTTGTTGTTATAATTACTCTTAACCTTTGCACCTATTGTGAGCCTTATTTTAAGTAAATTATACTGTTGGGTTTCTTCGAGTTACTTTATTTTAGAAGAACGTTTAGCTGTGTCTTGTTCACCTATATTTTAAGCTGGGAACTGTAACTGGGAAGGTGTATTTATTTTTATTATTCAAAAGTATTTATTGTCTTGTGCTAATCTAAAAACATAAGTATATCTATGTTTAAAATATAGTATAGTTTAGCACGGGGCTTTTAGGACTATTCATTGTGTACACTGCAACATCGGAACTAAAATCCAGTCATGAAATGCCAATTACGAATAAAGTTTTATATTTGGCTTTGTTGAGGACTTTGATATCTAAATCTTATTTTATGTTTACATGTATACAAGGTCATTACTTAAATATAGCTTTTATTTATGATTAGATCAAGTGTAGATATAGTATTCTACCTACCTACCTACAATTATACCTACAATCCGAAATAGGTTCGTACGATCTTTTGTGCTTATCTATCTCAGTGGCGTTGACATGTACTCATATGTAGGAAGAAAGGAACATATCATATTTGTTGAACATACATAGTTCTATATCAACTTTGAACAACTTTGTGAATCTCATATGGGAGACAATGTCTTAGTTATCGAAGTGACTTAAGGATATCTACAATGTATAACCCATATAAACATGTATATTGCAAACAAAAGAATCTTGATAAATATAGGTATATATGTATATAACAAGGATTAAATAAGTTCAAAATTCATCAATGTCATCAATATTCCAATAGCTCATACATACTGGTATGAACTCATTTCGAATTCGAGACTTTTCAGAGTTCAAGACGATCCGCAAAAGTTCGATTTCCCATTCATCATTCCAAGAACCTTGTCATATTATTAGCAGACTATAAATAGCTCATTACGTCCGCAGCTACTTGACAGCTTTCTTTATAACTTGAGATTTTTTGTCGACGTTTCATCTCGTTTGTTCATCCTACTTTGTTAAGAAAGTTTTGTAATGTTTAACCTACCCCTGTCATTTTACTTTCCCAAGTCTTTGTGCTAAGTTTCCTCGTAAAATTTTGCTCAATTTTCATAATGGGCTAGTTGGTTTTTACTCTTAAAATTCCTGAAGTTTTATGCAAGTAATCTGGGACACAGAAAGATTAAAGTACGTTAGTGAAGGGTTACCAGTAGCGGCTATAGCAACATTGTCACTTGAATTTGCTTTAGAGACTTCTTTTAATTTTGTTTGTTTTTCTTCATCACGTCACCATCTGATAACTCATAAGCTTGTTGGTCTAATGGTTAATGATTCTGAATGCTAAGCTGAAGGTCGTGGTTTCGAATCCCATCCAAAACAAAAATTGTATGATAAGCATGATCATTTATTCCGTGTCTGGGTGTAATTTATTTATAATATGTATGACGTATGTATTTAGAAATATTTAAGTTTGTTTATCAGCAGTCTACTTACCACAGCATATGCTGTGCCTAGTTTGGGATCAAGCTGCAATTTGTGGGACGTGTTAAGTTATTTATTATTTTATTGTTAACTACCAGTTTCTCTTTGAATTATTCTCATCCATCCTATGGTTATCTGAAGAAGATCGTTGCTTCTCTGTTGAAACATGTATGTGTGATATCTAAAATAAAACTATGGTATACATACTAAAGTATTATAATTATCTATCTCTCTATGTTATCAGCAAAAACATTACCAAAAATATTTTTGCCCTAATTTGTGATTCTTCTTACTTTAATTTTCACTTTGTCTTTGTCAGCCTTTCAATTATTCAAATTCGAAAATGATAGATTGCCATTTGATTACTGTAAAACAACATTTGGCACGTTTATTTTTGTAATACAATTTTTATTTTGTGAATTGATAAATTATAATTATGTGTTACTTCTTTACTTTCTCTTTTAAAATTCAAGACAGAAGTATATTTTTTGATGGTAAATTATTTGAATAATGATAAGCCTAAGTCATTTACTTACGAATAACTCGTGAGTCTTTTTAACCTTATTAATGTAATCACTATACAAACAAGTAGTACCCTTTTAGGATTTATACTTCGAACCAGTTTACATATTGGTTTATTCTAGAACTACAAGTACATTTAAACTGAAAAAAAACTGTATTGATTAGAATAAAAGGGTTCTTTATTTACAAAACTATACCTTTTGTCTTAGCCCCCGAAGAAGGGCCCTCGTCAGTAGAATGCGGAGGCGTGACGTCAACTGCTCTGCGTGTTAGTTGGCAGCCGATACCACCACATAAGCAAGCTGGTGCTCTTATTGGGTACACAGTACTATATGCGGCTCAAGGTGAGTTTTGTTGCTAGTGTTAACAAGTAGATTATAGTATGTATGGAGTAGAATATAACTCATGACTTTTTGGTCACAGAAGAATTTTGTTTGAATTATGGCCGCCACCCTAGTCCTATAAAGGAAAATTGTATGCAAAATAAAACAAAAAATCCTGCATGGATGCATGCATGAAAATAAATATATTTAAATTAAATCACAGTGACAAAAAAAATAAAACGAACTTAGTTTAAAAAATTACAGAGATTTATAAGATTTTATTTGTTGGAAATACAGAATCGGGTTTAGCATTATTGCCATATGACGTCACGTATAGATATACGAGATTAGACTATTTATTTCTTAAAGCGTTTTGACATCTTAGTCAGAAGAGGTCGCATGCACATGCTTATTTAAGAACTAGAAGTTCTTAAACATAATAAGGTTCATTTTATGAGTGACGTCACACACTTCAAGTAAAATATTGTATCAATTCAGAAAAGTCAAGCAAGCTATACTAAGACAAACTGCTTAAAAAGATAATCAAAATATTTAAATGATCTAGACATATATGCATATTTTGCAAAGGATAAACGGTATTACTCACAGACCGAGGAGACCTTTTTGACCTTTAGACATTGACGCGGAAGGTCACTTCATAAAGATCCTTAATAAAGATCCTCAGTCAAGTTCAAAACTAATTTCTTATTCCAATTCATATGAATAACCACTCCTGAAAGTTTTTATTCATAACATACGTGTTTAAAAATATATACTTATACGCCCCAAAACATGACCGCCCACCACAGTCGTTTAATAAAAATAAGTATGCTAACGATATTTTTATTATTTCCTAAATTATTCATATATTCGAACGAATTGCCCGTTAGAATATAACTAAATACAATTCATAAACTAAATTTATAAACATGTGACCAACATCATTGTTCACAGATTAACAAAATTCCTCAAATTTAATGTTCCAATGTTTAACAAAAACGACAGAAGTGCCAGTAGTAAATGTAGATTAATTAACACAATACAAATAACTCAATTTTATATCTCTATTTGCGTATCATTCACAACTCAACACCCCTGTGTTTAGTTGTGAATGATACGTGAATATAGTTGTTGAAACACTCAAGAACCCTTTGTTGAGTATTTCAACAACTCTGTGCTGGGATTATTTCAATTCGAATGGTCACGTTCTCAAACAAACTTGGTCTCCAAGGTAATGGCAGCCTTTATGTCATTATTCAAATTCTGCAGGTCGACAATGGCTGAATGCTACGTCGCTGGTGACAGAACTCCGGCTGCAGGGACTGTACAAATTTACTAACTACACCGTCAAAGTGGCCGGCTTCTCTAACTATGGACTCGGACCTTTCTCGTTTCCTATTGTATGTTCAACATTGCAGGATGGTAAGTCGAGCATGGAACACATATTACGTAAGCATTGAAAACAATGGGTTGTTGTTTTTAATTTTTTTTATTTGATGACCTCCGTGACTAGGTTTCGTTTGGTATAATGATGTAAATAAAGGCTTAACTGCCAGAATTTTAAAGTGAGCATTATAGCCTCATTTACTTAAAATAAATATTAATATTAATAATATACTTAAAATAAATTTTCATCATCAGCATCAACAGCCTTTCATAGTCCACTGCTGGACATAGGCCTCTCCTTAGAAAGGTGGTTTTGGCCTACTATACCATGCTGGCCAGTCGGGTTGGTATAGGGTTTGTGTCAAGTTTTCTTACCTTTGCAGTGCTGTTGTCCTACGTAGTTTACTCCCTTAGTCGGCTCTTACGACGTCCTAAAATTTATCTATAACGTAGTTTTCTAGATAAATTTTAGTTAAACTTAGTGGTACTTCCCTTATATAGACATCAGAATCTACCAATGCACCATTGTCAGTTTTTATTCAGAATATTAAAAAATACTACTGTAAAAGAAGCCATTGGCAATAAGCGTCTATTTTATGAGTGGCTGTTAACGAGGATATTCACATAAAAAATAAATAATTTATGACATCTGACCTCTATAAAAATTTAATAGAATACCAATGTACCGCGGCCACCGCCGAAAAGCTATCAGAGTTATTACTCTGTGTAATATTTTTATAATGGTATGTTCAATAAGTTAACATTATTTTATGTTTCAAGGAAAATGTTTAATAAAAACATTGTTTAGCTGTTTAACTTTTAAAACAAATGTACTTTTTTATAGAAATAAGATAGTGATGGTGTAAAAACAAACCAAAGTTGATCAGTTTTATGCTTCCAATTTTTTTATGTTTCTCCAGATCTTACTTTGTACCAATGTTCATTGTTATTCTCTTCATTGTAGTTCAAGTCTTATAATTTGCTTATTGTCACATTGAAAGCTTTATTCATTGTAATTACTTAAAAAATGGACAATGATATGATATGACAGCCCAACCCAAACATAATAGGATTATGAAGCATCATAATCAATCAACAAGTATACCAATACTTGTTGATTTGTTACAATATGTTTAAGTTCCATTTATCAGACCATCTCCACTGTTGCATTATACAATACAAATGTTGACCAACTTCAAAAAAGTCTAATAAAGTAAATTTGTAAAAACTTACAAAAAAATATGTTTTGGATTCCTCCACATATAAAATGTCTTAAAAGCATACAAGTGTTTTAATTTCCACGCCAATCCACAAATTTGGAAAATTCCAGAAAATCTCTTGAACTGAATGGTTACCTGGTTCTAAATGAATAGGTCAGGCTATTTTTAGGTAGGTTCTTCTATTAATATATATATTTGTCAGCACAAAATGTTGATAATACTTGTACTCAAACAACTCTATCTGCGTGGGTTGCAAAAAATACCGCAACACCCGAATGTATTGAAGACAAATGTCATAAATATTTTTCTATTTATATCGCGAGGCTGTTTTCATAGGACAGTTTTCAACAGTAAATATTGGAGTTATCTACAGTGAGTATAAAAGAGGAAATAAACTTTTCTAAAGGTGGTGTATATGTTAGCGAGCGTGAAACTGTCGTCTACGTTCGTCTAACGTCTTAATTAAATTTCTTGTCATACCTCGACTTTCATTTCTGATTGAAGCAATATGATACCTATTGTGATGTTACAATAATAAAAGTCTGATTTTTTTATAATATTTTAGAGTTATCTTTAGTAGTTATCGCAAGTACTGTGGGAAATCCATGCTTCGGCACGAATGGGCCGGCTCGACCGAAATGATACCAGAACCGGTGTTAAGCAATTCTTTTGTTACCTTTCACTGTGTGTGTGAGGTTACCGGAGCCCAAATTCCCCCTCCCGCTGACTGGAGCGCGAGGGACTCCATGGGCAGCAACGCACTTGTGACTTTTGAGTTGCAGGTGTCCATAGGCGGCGGTAGTTGCTTACCATCAGGTGACCCGTCTCCTCGTTTGCCCCCTATACCATAAAAAAAATCCATTTTCAAACTATTGTTAACCACTACAAGCAATATTTTATTCCCTAGTGCCCGAAGCACCAGCGGAAATAAAACTTCTCTCGCAGTCTGCGACCACGTTACTTGTAAGCTGGAAAAGACCACGACAACCAAATGGCAGACTACTTCATTATACAGTATATTGCAAGCCTACAGCCAGGTAAGTTATTTAAATGTGAGCATATAGGCAAGTCAATTTCCATTTCAGAATGATAAAAAGATTTTTATAATTCAAGATATGACTAAATATAGTTCATTTTTATTGTACTTCTTATCCTATACCGTACACAGATGTACATTTTAACTTCTCACGTCTAGTAATGAAAAAACATTAAAATGTAAAATATTTTTACTAAATATTTGATAACCCTAAAAGAAAAGAAATATCTTGACAAAGAACAATTTTCACAGCAACGATGGCCCTGAAGCTTTAAGAGTAGATGTACAAAGTACAACAGAGGCTTACGAAAGAACTCAGACATTGGAACTAAAAGGTCTTATGGAAGGGAGACAGTATGACGTGTGGGTGACAGCTAGTACTGTCGTTGGAGAAGGACCGGAGAGCAGAAGAGTAACAAATACTAATTCTCCACGAGGTAAGTCTTGCTAACAACCTCAAATTGTAAAACGTAGAATGCAATAGTGCAATAGACTAATCTTTAAAGTCTGTACACAGTGAGTAACAATCGTCAAGGATCTTTCAAATACTGTTAATTATTATGTTCAATATTCAAGGGTATTTAAAAATATAATTAAAAAAAACAAGAAAGAGATAGAAAATAATAGTGCTAAGATTTTTTTTTCTTGTTTATTAATATTATAACTATTTGGATTTAAAGAACTATTTCCACAAGGAAATAGATGCTTAACACCCAAAGTCGGGACAAACATTTGTAAATTACATAAAATGTTTTTCCATGTTGATCTCAAAACACTTGGCAACGCACAGTGCCGAGAAGACCACTGTAACTATTGCAGCATCCCTACAATCTGTATACTGCAGCAGTGATTGCACGGAGGATCGCCACGCTGCTTCATACTACGCTGAGTGTTGTGGGTCCATGGGACGAAACTTTGTGTGATCCACAAATTGTTGTTCTGAGTCTGGGTGTTCTTTGTGTCTGTTTCCTGTGTGTTTTGTAAAGTCCCCCATGACACAGGATATATTTCTAATGCGGGAGTTGTCTTTAACAAAAATACATTTAGGATCTATATGTATATATAATTAAAAACAACAATATTCCTATTTTAGTGGTAGCAGGCGTAGCTTCTCTCGGTGGAGAAATTACAGTAGCTGTTCGAAACTCTCTGTTACTTGAATGTCGAAGTGTGGGCATACCACCACCAAGGACCGTGTGGTACCATAATCAAAACATAATAACACATCATCCCAGATTCACCAGAAATAAAGATGACAGCTTATTGATAAAAAGTAAGTAATTTAATAATTCTGTTAAAATCTGTGATAGGAAAAGTCGAAGAAAAAGCCAAAAGAAAACAATTTGCTGCCTTCCCCAAGGATAAGTAAATCAATCATATTTTGTGTCTTTTAAGAAATTAATGAATTTTACAGTTCTGCATTATTTTTTAGGTATAGACCAATCTCTTAGTGGAAATTACACATGCCTAGCTAAAAACCTATACGGGTCAGACTCGGCAGTCTACTCAGTCAAAGTATTGCCATTACCTGATCCACCTTCTTTAAGAGTTACTCCTTACAAGGACTATATTGTAGTGGAATGGGATGAGATCAGGTCTTATGGAAATGTCTCATCAGGATACGGAATCAGTACGTATATTTTCATCAATTTAATCCAAAGCAAACATAATATAATCAAAGAGATACAATGAACTAAAAGTCTTAATAAAAGTTCTGAAAGCCACTCAAGAATGCATTCAAATGAGACAAAAACCTTAAGTAGTCATTTATATACTAACTTCCAGTAAAGTTATTTAAAGTACATATTCTGAATGATAAACTCTTATCCTTAAAAGTTTAAATGTATTTAAATTTAAAAGTAATATTATCTGCTGTGTAGGCTATAATCTTACCTGGCGGGAAAATGACGGAATGTGGCAAGAAGCATGGCCGGTTTCCCGTGAAAATCGTCTACCAGGAATACAACAACATACACTAGCTGGCCTAAAGTGTGGTACTAAATATTCTATAAGAGTAACTGCCACTGATAGTATTGGGACCTCAGCACCCGCGCATGCAGATGTTACTACATTGGGAGGAGGTTAGTTTTATAGAGTAAGCTCAATGTTTAAATAATAATGACTCTAAATTACGGATGACCAAATTAAGACTAAAGTTAAGACTAAACTGGAAGTGAAGTTAAAACACTCATAATACTTTTTTGCCAAAGATCTTGTTGTTAGCATTTTTTGTAGTTGTATTAAACAGATTTATCAAAATATTATTCGCCGGTCCATTGCTATTATTTTGTGGATGTAGAAGCACATACATATAACTTTCCTAATTTCTCCAACTGACCGATTAGCACGTACGAAAATAACTTATACTTAATGGTAGAGATAACTGTAGATATATATAAATATGGTTTCTACCCTGGATTAATGGTTACAAGTATGATTATAAATATCAAATAGTAAGCAATTAATAATCACATATCTTTTGAAAAAGATATCATACAATTTCACAAACACTTCCCAATCATGCCGGGTAAAATTTCATAATGTCCAAATCTCACGGTTTTCAAATCTCTAGCGCCTGTATCTCCGCCGTCAACGGACTGGCTTTGGAGCAACGCAACCCACATCTACATTCAACTTAGCGGCTGGGATGATAGTGGCTGTGATGTGACGAGGTGGGAAGTAGAATACAGACCATTGGGTGTTACAGCGTGGCAGCGAGCTGAAAATAAAGCAGTAAGTTGACTGATTGATGAAATTATAATTTATTTTAAAATCAGTTATTTACGCTTATTTATTTCTCTCCTAGCCTATGGACCTAAACCTTGGCTGGAGTTATATCGAAGGTCACTACCAAGCACCGCCGTTGCGTTCCATTCCAACATCGTATGCCGTCGGATCTCTCGCTCCCGCTAATTGGTATCAACTGAAAGTGACTGCGATAAATGACGCTGGATCTGCGTCCACCATTTATACATACGCCACGAAGACCCTGGACGGAGGTAAGAACAAATCATTCAACATGAATATTTTAAAACCTTTATTGTTATACGTTTTAAGCATTAGTTTTATCTTGCCTATACAAAAAATAAAAAGCATTTAACATGTGGCTAAGACTACATTGACTTGTGAAAATGCTTTTCTAACCAAGAATCTATGGATAGTAATTATGGTATATATTTAAATCGTCTATAACTATTCTATAGGCACTTTGTTTTTAACGATAAACATATTCCATGTATTCTACATAGTTAATGGTGATCCCATTAACTATGTAGAATACATGGCATATGTTTACAGTGAGTAAGGAATTTAGTTGGGGCATAATTTATAGCTCACCATTGACCCATAAGTCCGTGAATTCCCATTGTAATTAATTGTTGCTGCCCCGTTTGTGGTAAAGATTTTCTTATGTTTTTATTTATAAAGATGAATTACTAGGTAGGTAATTTAGGACTGATGTGTTACCATGATAAAAGGTTTTAGTGTAAATTATAAGGCGTCTGAAGGAATATGTGCAAGAAACCAATAATGTTTAGGTGGTTATATCTGGCCAAAAGGTCACACATGTTTGTGTTCTATTTTAAGAAAAATATTAGGTCATCATCATCATCATCATCATCAACAGCCTTTAATACATGGACATAAGCCTCTCCTGAGAAAGGAGGTTTTGGCCTACTATTATTAAATATTAGTTACCTCAGATATAATGAGATTCAGTGTTTCACATCTGTCATAAAAAGAATTCCAAGTTCGAGTTTGCTTCTAGTATAGATTTAACATTATAATAAGAAAATAATTTAAATAAATGTAAAACAAACTAGGAAGACCTTTGTTACTAAATGTTCATTAAGTGGGCAAAAGATTCAATTAATGAATGAATGTATGTTCTTAGACTAAAGATGAAAACCAGGATGTACAGATGTACGAATATATCTTTAGAAAGATAAAAGTTAGTCAATTTCAAATGTTGGATGATATATCTGTGAATAAAAAAATAACCCATTGATTGATTGGCCACATTGACTCGAAAGATTTAATAACTGATCACAATATAAAGGGTTAGACGAGAGATAGAACTGTCTCACTTATTCAGTTTTGATCAATACTGGAAAATATTAAGACTCAAGCTTATTAGAATCTGTTCTGGAACAAAAGTTTTTGAAACCAAGCATCGCAAGGGTCTAATTTAAATTGTCTCATTCAAACTAAGTTTACCATAACTTTCTTTATTTCATTTCATTTTCTTTAAAGACTCAAGTTATATTGTACAACACCAGTACCAGTAAAGCTGTCATTTAGTCAATTTCGTTTTTATTTTCTTCATAAATTATCACATTCAAAATTACCCATTTGTTTTTAGATTTTAGACGTTTGATGATTTAAATTAAAAAACCAATGTGACTATTCTTTTTCTTTCTATCTATCTTTGCGACGAAAACAAGCAAGAACATAAACAATAAAATAAACAGAAGACTATAGAAGATTAGTTGGTAACACCCGCTATAAAGGTAATGACGAACTGATAGACAAAGAGAATTTTATTGTCATTACGTTTTATACTCGTAGCTATCATTTTATGGATAGACGTTATAAGATATTATGTGTCTGAGGAATTGCAATTTCTTGGAAAAGTTATGGCACTTATTTTATTGTAAATTTTATTCATTTCAAATACTTTACGAGTATACTTTATGAAAGACTCCTTTTTGCAATAGGCGATACTTCATCATCTTCATCAACAGCCTTTAATAGTCACTGCTGCACATAAGTCTCTCCTTAGAAAGGAGGTTTTGGCCTATTATACCAAGCTGGCCAGACGGGTTGGTATAGGGTCTGTGTCAAGTTTTCCTTCTCTCTGCAGTGCTGTTGTTCTTCTGCGTAGTTTTCTCCCTTAGTCGGCTCTTACGACACCCACGGAATGAATAGGGGTGGTGATACTCTGTATTCTTAATCCGTCACCACACGGAGGCGATACTTAAATATAATATATTATTTTGGTTAGGGTAAACAGTGAAATGACGAATGGTAGAGTAGAATGTAAGAATTATACTTACTGCACCGACCCGATGAAATGGGATAAGGACAGGCAGATGAGCCACTTGATGGTAAATGATGACCGCTGCCCATGGACACCTGCAACTCTAGTCAAAAGTAGGTTAGTTAAGTGAAGTGAAGATCAAGGAGGTCCGTCAGTCCAGTCCAGCCGATTCATTGTTTTTTGACAACTCCTGCACTAGGAATATATCCTGTGTCGCGAGGGACTTTACAAACATACATGAAACGGACACAAAGAACATCCAGACTCAGGACGAAAATTTGTGGATCATACAAAGTGTCGTCCCATTTGTGGCTCGAACCCACAACACTCAACGAGGCGACCGCTTAAACCACTACGCCATCCGTGCAGTCGATTTCTAAATGCATACATACATTTGGGCCGAAGCATGGTTTTTCCAGGAGCTGGATGCGAGAAGCCGAAAATCGATCTAAGTGGTGTGCAATAGGAGAGGTCTATTTCCAACATTGGACTGCGATATGCTGATGATGGTAGTTCTTCCACGATATTAAAAGTTATTGCCTTAAAACTGCAATTCAAAGATGTTTGTGCAAATAAATTAAAAATGTCCGATATTTCTGTTTGAAGATGGTATTCGTAGAGAAAACTGTGTCATTGGGTTTAATTTTAGTTAAGGGTAAAGTTTCAACTGAAACAGAGCAAAGAGCCGACACAACTGAATTTATTATGTCTGCCTTAATTGTTGTTAGTGATACTTAAGTTATCGCGACTTTTTGCCTAATTTTAGAACACAGATTATCTTAACTCGCCTGTTGATCTAGTATTTGGTGACCCTGACTGATAATCCAGAGGTCGTGGGTTCTAATCCCACCCACGACAAATAATTGTGTGATGAGCAATATCATTTGTTCTGTATCTGGGTTTCATTTATCTATAATATGTGTCATTATCCCCATCGAGTGGAGGTTTTGGCCTACCTTGCCACGCTGGCTATACTAAAAGAGTTGTATTAAAATATGTATGCATTTAGAAATACATAAGCACAAGCTCTGCTTAGTTTGGGATCAGACTACCGGGTGTGAGGTGTGTCAAGTTATTATTAATGATAATACTACAATAATATTTGTTTTATAGGAAAAAGGTGATTGTAGTACAAAGGCTTGTGACATAGTTCTAATTTTAATGACCTACAGATACAATCTTGTGGGTCAAGCTCTGTTATCCTTGATAGGTAATGTATAACAGTCCTTTCCCCTATGGAATATGCAGTGGGTAAATACAATTATGTAAAGTTCTTATTAAGTTGTCATTACTGTTTTAATCAAGTACTTTTTGAGCATCTAGATGCTTATTTGATATATAAATTTTAGGAAAGAAATGAAATGAAAAAAGCCAACCAATTCTTAAGTCTTTTATTCACGTTCTTTTTTCATTTTTTCATCAAAAATCATCACATTATGTATTTATTAAGACATTTCTTTTCATACGTGTAATGAATAGAAAATTAGATTTAGAAAAAATGTTAGGTGGATCTTTTAGAATCATTGTCGTTAGAAACAATCCGGTGAGTGTACCTTTGTACAGATCAAAATACCATATAATGGAAAAAAACCTCCCAGTCTTTTTATATGGTCTCTTACCATATTACGGTTGACTAAGTAAATCTTTTTGTGTTTAATGTTGCATATCTTTCAATTCAAGATTAAATAATAAATAACAATCAATCAGTAAGATACCGGTATTCACATTTAGACCTTACACATAAGTAGTGTAGTAAGGTCTAGTGGTTAGTGACACTGACTGCTAAACCGGAGGTCGTGGGTTCGATTCCCACCTAGGACAGATATTGTGCGATGAGCACGGTCATTTGTTCTGTGTCGGGTGTAATTTATCTATGATATATATCTATTTAAAAATATATAAGTATGTTTATCAGTAGTCTGATTACCATAGTACAGGCTCTGCCTAGTTTGGAATCAGACGGCCGTGTGTGAGATGTGTGAGAGATATTATATATATTATATTATCTGCGCTAATCTTTTGTAGTGCCCTGCAGGAATTTACTTTATAAAAGTAATTAAATTCAAGTTATTATTGAAGTCGATTTTACTTAGTTTTAATATTTACCTTTATTTCTTTAATGCGCTTCTTTGTCTGTTTGATAAATTAGATCGATCTGTCAGTTCAACATGAAATTTCCAACCCGTTACAAACCATTTATAGCTGAATATAATATCATAAAGCAGTATTTATCATAACACTGCCAAGAGAAAGGCCATTAATCATTTGTTATATTAAAGCTGTTGTTATGAAGTAATTATTGCCGGATTCAGTCTAAACTTGCGCTATGTAAACGTTGATACTGAATATTAATATTCTGTATAGATCTTGTACGATTGAAATGCAACATTTGATTTGATTTGATCATTTAAAGACTCCCGCATTAGGAATATAATCCTGTGACGCGGGAATCTTACAAACACACATGAAACGGACACAAGGAACACTCAGACTCAGAACAACAATTTGTGTATCACGCAAAGTGTTGTGGCAAGATGACCCCTTAAACCACTACGTCATCTGTGCAGTCGAGTCGCCTTTCTTTCGTTCGTCGTCGGTTTAGTCTACTGGTTTTCCCCGTATCAATCATTAGCCTATATCCATCCACTGCTGAACGAAAGCCTCCCTCAAGAAGCGCTTACTATCCCAGTATACCAATAACAACTTTTTGTACAACGTCAAGTGATCCAGTGAAGTGTAAATTGGGCTGTTATTTATTTATGACTTCATGCACAAATATTTACATCGGCGGACTTGATGCCTAAGGCATTCTCTGTCAGTCTTCCGATTGGGCGATGCAGAGCAAGAATGAGGTAAGTGCACTTATAAAGAGGTAACAACTGATAGAAATTTTATTAAATACCAACTATTATGTCTTTCGAATGGGTGCACTACAGAACTACGAAAAATACGTCGGTCACAAATACGAATTTCAAAATTTCGATTTCCATAATTCCGAATGGTTCAAAATTTCGAATATAACAACTCCGATTTATCATTCATCCTATTTTTATAATTCGAAAATTTCACTATTCCTAACGTATATCATTACTATGCTCAAAATACCGAGTTTCAATAGATCGAATTACAAAAAGTCCGACTTAATGATAATTCGAAACATCTAAAATTTACCAACCACCAATAATAGAGCGGATCTGGCGCTTTAAATATATAAACATTTATATAAAATTAAATTTACGTATATAATATATAAATAAACAAACACACACAAATACATCTAAAGATATATTATATTTTAATAAAATATAATAATTCTAGGCGATGAACAAGAGCTTGGTCGAATCTGGCAATTCACTCAGCAAAGGCTCCGTTTCGCTAACGGAGTTAATATCCCATTCGATGCAAGTTTTTATTGAACCCTTACCTTTGATCGACAACTCAATTACCAATGATGATGATTGATTTAATGTCAGATATTTACTCAAGAATTAGTTACGACCTACAGTTCTACCAAATACATTAACCGCAAAAAATATTTCTTGTGTAAGAATCCAAGGTTGAATTTAGGTTAAATGAATCACTCGTTGCCGGGCCTGGTTGTCTAATGGTTAGTGACCCTGAGCTAGAGGTTGTGGGTTCGATTCCCACCCAGAACAAATAACTGTGAGAAGAGTACGATGATTTGTTCTGTGTCTGAGTGTAATTTATCTATAGGTAATTTGTATATATTTAGAACTATTTAAATATTTATCAGCAGTCTGGTTTACTATAGCACAGGCTCCGCCTAGTTTGGCATCACACGGCCGACAATAATTGATACAGAACAGATAAGAAAACTATTAACTGTGTATACTTTGTTGTGAGTAGTTAAATGGTTTTGTCTTCTTTCAAATACCAGTATATCCTGAACTTTCTTGATATAGACGCTTGTACCATAACAGGTCAAAATATACTGAATTCACATATACATTTTTTAAATTTCAACTCTTTTTCATCGCATCTTTGACAGTGTTTAATCAAAAATGCTTAGAAACAATTCTCTTCAAGTATTTTAATAAACACAACATATTGTCGAATGCTGTAACTATACCATGTACTTCGTAATAAACGACTAGGACCCATAAACTATCACAAAACTTTGTGAATAAGTAATTTATAATTGTTTAATAATAATCACAAAATAAGGGAGTTAATATTAATTTTTATTAAAAAAAAAGTGCCGTGTATATTAAAAAAAAAAAAACAGCTTAACAGAAAACGAATTCGTAACTGTAATCTACCATCTAATTTACCTGAAGTCGATTTAAGAAGTTTGAGTTAGAATTTAAAGCATTATTAAAATATTTTTCCATTTAATTGTTTGTACATACTAACTTGTAAAACTAACTATATAACATTTTTTCTTTTTAAATCATCAATTTTAAGCATCCTTGATGCGTGAATATCCATCACGTTGGTACTTCAACTAAGCGGCACTATAATTTAGATAGGAAGGAAGTTTCCAGAAGTTCGGAAATTTCAACTGTTGTAATGACAGTTTCGGAGAACATTGAAGTTGAACCTTTAGGAAATTGTGTCGTTAAGTTCACAAAGTTATAAGAATATTTTGACGCGACAAACATAAATTATTTCATCAGAATTCTGTTGTAAAGCTGATTATACTTCCCTCGTTTGAAGATTGTTGTCGCCAATGTTCTTTATTCAAATGTTTTCAATAAATTATCTTCTTTATTTTTAACTTTCTACGTTTGCGTAATATTTTTTGATTTCAGAAATGAGTTTTTATTTCCTTGGATAATTGTGACATGCATCAGTTTAGACGTAGATTATGTTCAAATGATTAGCCGCTCGTCGAATACGCATTGTGTTTTTGTATAGCATTCGCATGGCGAGTGCTTTCTGGGTATTATCGTATTTTATTTTGAATTAATTGGGTTCTTTGAAAATAGGCGTTATAACAGACAGCAAAAACAGAAAATCACAAAAAAATTTTATTTCGGAAATGAAGTGTCAGAGTCAGAGTTTGGCAAGTAAGTTCAGAAAATAAAACCCTGCCAGTGAGCATCATGTACGCATTCGGCATAACGTCAACATAGATTTAATTACAGACCTGATGACTTTATCGGTTTATCATTTGACATTTTCTTTGTTGTAGAGGAAATCGGCCCACCAGCGGAGCTATTCGACCTAAATATGTTGGTGATTGTGTGCAGTTCCATACTCCTCGTAATGTGTCTAATGGCTTTTTTCTGTATACTGTTTAGAAGACATAGGTAAGTTTAAGACTTTGATTTTTTTCCACAAAAAGACATGATTCTCAGAAAAAGATAATTGTTTGTGTATTGGTTGTATATTGAGATCAGCATGCAAATATTCATTGCGCGATGCAATGCCCGCATTTACGAAATAGTTCATCTTGTCCATGTTAGATGGCGCTGTATGCAATCATAATGCAATGCTTAAAATTATTTGTTATATAACGTGCCTGGATTTTTTTAAATTAGTTAATATAACAGCTGTAGCTCGTCCTTATTTAGACGATCAACGGATTTTATAATTAACTTAACTTTATTTTCGACACAGGCAAACCTATTCGTCTCAATACAGGCACTCTATTGCTGAAGAAGTAAAGTCACGCAACGAAAGCGTGGCCTCTCATTCTGAACACAAGGAGAGATACGCCCATGCGCCCCGGATCTACACATCGCCAGTGCAGAACAGGAAGACCAGTAAAAACGGTAAGTAAAATTATATATACCGTGAAGTCACATAATTATGTTTATAATATATACATAAGTGTATCCTTCGCAACATGAAGTGAAGTATTTTTTTTTGTAATTTAGTTAAATAGTAAAATATTATATAGATACTTTTTCAACTCGGCGCCTGTAAACAGAATGACGAGGAAGGTCAATGAGCACCATACGCCATATACCTAATTGTATTGCTTACTCACGCCACGATTTCTTATACGCAGTTGTGTAAGAAATCGTGACAGTCAATCTGTAAACTATTGTTATTGATATATTGTAATGTTAAATGTTATCATTATTTTTAACTAGCTTCCGCTTCAAACGCGTGGATTTCTTAAATTGAGAATATCCTAAGTAGATATTAAAGTGAGCTATATCTGTATTTGTGAGCAATTTTCTGTATTTTACATTACTTTAATGTATCTCTGCTGGTTTACGCGGCGTAGGCGACTAAAGTTTCCTGTAGGCAAGTTTTTTGGCGACTCTTTGACAATAATAGTTATATTTCAGTCAATTTACATAAAAACATAATAAATTATACACCTAAACCTTACTAAGGAATCACACTACCTATTGGTGATATCGGTACAAAAATCCATTAGGTAGTTTTTCAGTTTATCGCGTTGATACAGACAGACAAACCGGGCCAGGGACTTCATTTTATAATAATACGTAAGGATTATCGTAGTTTTTTTAATCGCTTTTTATTGTTTCTATCTGTCTTGGTTATCAAATAGTAATTTTATGTTACATAGGTACTTCAATTTATATTGATCAATTTGATTTCATTAAACTCAATGTAATTTAACTCGATTTCATTTATTTTGATTTGGTTTTGTAACCGACTTAAAAAGGAGGAGGTTGTCAATTCGGATGTTTATACTTTTTTTATGTATGTAAGGGCATAATTCCTTTATATTTAAATGGATTTTCAAAATTATGTTTTGTTCAAAAAGAGTTTATTTCGATATGATCGTATTTTTTCATTTGGATCTGATTTGAATTTCAGAGACAGACAACAACGGAACTCTTCACAGAATTACATCAAATCAAACGCGATTTCTGCTAGGTTTTTAGTGCTCTTTGTTAATATTGTTTGAAGTGAGATCAACTTCTTTTTAAACAGGATTTATATGTTTTCTAAACGCTAGATACCTTTATATTAAATTTAATTTTTCTTTACGTCTAAATATTGGGTACATAAAATCTGGAAGAACACACAGATTTCGGGCTAATTCAGTCTGGACTAGATTATATGTTAGTAATAAATATTACTTAACGTCTTATTGAGTAAGTCCTTAAAGTACCGCAATTTAAATATAAAAACGGCTTGAGGGGTCAAAACGAAGTTCCTTTCGCTTTTTGGTAGACGTTTGCTATATATATGAAATACTAGCTATTGCCCGCGGCTCCACCCGCGTGTTTGTCAGTTATCGCGGTAAAAAGTAGCCTATGTTACTTGCTGATAACGTAGCTTTCTATTGGTGAAATAATTTTTTAAATCGATTTTGAGGTATTGGCGTGAAAGCGTAATACGTCTGGATGAAAAAGATGTGAGCGTCGTCGCGCCAATTGAAGTGTCGAAAAGAGGTCTGGTTACACATTTTCCGGTATGGCTTTCATCCACTCAGAGCGTGTAACGCGCTATTAAAACTTCTTCTGTGTCTTCTATAACGCAAATTGAAAGAGAGATAGGACCGCACATTTGAGGTAACTGACTGTTGCTATGGATCTGTCTTCGGTTTTACACTCGATACTATTCGATGGTGTGTCGATCCAAGCACAACTGAGTCCGTAACATCACACCCGTGGACGCTCCTTTGTATTTTTGTTAATTATTCTCGAAAGTCCTCATAAAACTGTCTATGATTGTCATAGAAATGTTCGAGATCAGTCCATACGCGGAGTTTGCCCTGGGCTTCAGGACATTCGACCACGTGGAGAATCAAGACCTGCCCAGTAGGCTGCCCAGCAGACCGAGGTTTGATACTGGTAAGTACATTAGGTTCTTTTCTTTCTTTTTAAAATCCAAAATCAAAATTTACAAATATTTATGAAACTGACACAAAAAAACCCCAGACTTAGAGCAACAATTTGTGGATCCCACAAAGTGTTGTCCCATTTAAGGTTCGAACCCACAGCACTCAGCAAAATAAATTTAATAAAAATTATAATAATACAAAATCTATGATATGTGTGCTGATCCACAACCGCCCGTTTCCAAGGGGTTGAGCCTTCAGAAGAAAGGGCCAACAAACTCATGGCCACTCTTTTGCAATTTATATAATACTAATTATATTATCATGTTATCATTTGGTGTTCCGCTAAAACAGTTTTGGAATATCATTCGTAGTTCTATTTTCATTAATAAGCTTCCGGCTAATCACTATTTCATATGTAATATCGAGGAACGGTTATTATAGCCCTCATTATTCTCCCTTTGTGTTGACATAGGGAGGCGATCAGGCGAAGTGATCATGCCTGCAAAATTTCCTGTTATATCGCCTCGACAATTTTACTGCGTGATCCAAATCTTAGGCAGATATCTTACCAGATGAGCTCGCTTATACTAGTTAGTAAGTCATACAATTAGTGGTTAAAAAATAAAACAGGGTCTTTTTTTCATTTATTTTGGTACAAAACAGTCATTCATATAAAGCAATATAAAAACATACTTAGCAAAAGACAAGGAGTGCCCAAGAATGGAATACAAAAAAGTTGAAGAAACAAGTTTGAAAATGGTCTTAGTTTATAAGAGTATGTTAGCGCATTACACGCGTATTGTTCTATTACAATTATGTAGGTCACCTCATTAAAAGCGACCTCTAATCATTTCCTTATTTATTATGACGGTATTATAATTTCCGTAATATTTTTACTAGTCAGCTAAATCTCCGTTTGAATGTGTGTATAAATGTTAGCTTTTAATTAATTTTAATACTAGCAGAATTAACTAACAAAAATAGTAATAAAATAGTATCTGAACACGCAATAGTAGTTTCACTACATATATATTGTTTTTAATTTGTACGTATTTATTATGTAAGACGACACGTAACCCCACGGCCCTCTAACAAAAACATCAAAATACAACAATACAATAAAACAACATACAGATATCCCGTCAAAGTAAAGAAACTAGTGATCAAAATTTTAACTGCCAAACGTCGACTGACGCTTTGTTTCTGGATCTTAATGATAAGGATAAGATAAGATAGGATTCGTCACCTAGACGCTTACGCCGAGCCGACGACAACTTTTGAGCTTCGGTGAGGTTGTACGGCTCCCAGCGCGATAGTATCCTTCTCACGTGATAGTGCTCGTGTAGAATCTTGTGAACACTTCCCGACCCAATCTGCAATATATGCTGAATCTCTTCGTATGTTATTTGTCTGTTTCTTGAATTAAAAAATTTCAATGCGCGTTATACCAACGGTAGATCCATGAATCCCATTTAAAGTCGATCACATGTCTCGTCTGGTGTAAGACCACATTTGAAATCATACAAAATCATCGCACGAAAATGTTTTCGACGCAGAAACATTTTCCACTAAGATACAAAAATAGATATTTTTATTAAAATACTTTTTTTTTCAATAATTTTAATCGGCGTAGTAGTAGTCTTTGCATAGTATAAAATAAAGTCGCTTTTTTGTGTTGTACGCTTAGATCACTTAAACTAAGCAACACATTGTAATGCGGTTTTCACCAATAGAGAGAGTGATTTAAGAGTAAGGTTTACATTATGCTCAATGCATGCATATTATAGTAGAGAAGCCGAGAATTTAAAATATTTATCTTAAAAAACATGTTTTGTGCGCTTATATTGCATATGCTGGATAGACCAAAGTAATGTACTATTACATTTTATACCTCAAAAAGATCTTCAAAAAAGTCCTCGATGGTGTATGTCTATCTCCTAAGCATAACTATCAGTAAACATTTTCATCTTTTAAATATTATAAAAAAATGGGTTATTTACGAAGTTATTTTAAACAATACATTATTATTCTTTATCTAATTAAATACTTTAGATAGGTTGTGCAGAATAGAATGGCTCTTTACAGCATATCATTAAAATGAATATTTTAGAAGATATTAGAGGTTCAAAATGCGTGGGCCCTCGAGCCGTACGTCTGTCCCACGTGGCATCGGCTGGCAGGATCGGATCGGGCCTATAAATACTCGTATTGCATATAAAGATGTCCTGTCAAAGTATTATCAATAGTTCTATCATAATATTGTTAGTAGTGTTAGTAGTATCTACATTGCACCAGTGCGAAGCCGGGGCGAATCGCTAGTCATACATAAAAACTTATTTTCTGTAAAATTGTTTATTATTTCAAATAAAGTATTTCCAAACAAAGAGTAAATAATGTTACATAATTGCATTGTAAATTAATGGCACTAAATACTACATGTCAAGTTGCGGCCGCCGAGTTTTAACTACAATAATTTATGTAATCATTGTACTGTACAGTAACGCATTGGGAATACTATTCCACTACATCATTAAATAATGTTTGCAGTCCTTTATCAAATTACATTCGGCTTGTTTATTGGCGTGCTACCGAACTTTTTCAATAGAAACATAATCTGCTTACATATGAAAGTCAAATATATTTGTTGTGCTGTATAGATATAATTTTTGTTTCCTTTACACTTTTTTCTCACCAAATCTCCCCATGTAATTAACTACGAGTATTTACAGTCTATTTGTCCATTCAAAGGTTGCCTGTAAGATATTGCTTTTTAGCGATAAGGCTGCCATTTGTACATGGTCATTAACTTGGAATACTATTGTATGTATAATATCCTGAATTGGTGTACAATAAAGATTATTCTATTCTATTCTATATATTTGTAAACCCTAATTATGCACATATTTATATGAATTGTTAATGAACTGAGAGATCATTTGTTTTGGTTATGCGAAATCATTTGTTGGTATTTAAGCTTTACTAGGTATCTCTTGTAACAAATAGGAAAGGATTAAATTTTATGCATGATGCTTGCGGGCTAGGTTTACTCAAAGATTATATAAACTCCTCTGTTTAAAATACAATGTGTTAAGGGTACTGGTGGGACTGAACTGCTTCTGGAGTGATGGTATGGTATGGTCATGGATGCTAAAGTAGCTTGTTTCTAAGCAACAATGTGTTAGTGGTGCGGAGGGTCCAACTCCAATAATTAAGAATCCCTAGGTCCCCGAGATTGGGCATAGGGTGTCAACGGTAATCTTCCATCGCGTTCGGTCTTGACCTTCGCACTTGACCTCACTCTACATCTTGCCGATTACCTTCATCTGCGACAGTGCGTCGCTTGGTAGGCCAGACTTATATAATGTTGGCAGATGTTGTGACCTTTTGTATGGGGTGTGTCAGTGGCAGGATGTGTGTGTAGTGTATATTTCTTTGACGTACATGTTTTATGTTTGATTTAAGTTGTATGATAATAATAATTAATAATATAATACTTAAGTTAAGTTTATTAGTCCATGATAATGTGAGTACTATTTACTTTAGTACATTTAGTCGTGTTTTGAAGCACGCGCTTTTTGTTCCACAATTCTTTCGAGTCTAAGCGTACGAGATACTACTTCTGGAGATGTAACTATTTTTCTTATCTACTTTTTCGCTATTGACCAGTTCCAGATAACAAGAATAATGCTCTATTCTTTTCTTATTCAATACTTAATTCCTATTTTTGTTGAGTATTTATAAGTGCAAATTTAGTTTTTACATCGTATCACGGAATAACTTACATGAAACCAATAAATGTCACAATACGCAATATTTTTGAATGTATATATATACCTGTTTCACATTCTTCATAAGCTGATGGTAGTTAAAACATTTGTTTGAATTACGAGACATTCCCTCCTCGTATATTTCGGGTTGACAGTTAAATGAACAGAGACTATTCAAATGGTTGAGCTTGTTACTATTAATTGAATTCCTCTCAAAGCCTCAGTAAATTATTATTTAGTTATACAATTGAAGGCTATGTGGCAGGCTCTATTTTGAACATAACATAGCGTAATTTAATTTTAAATTTGAATACACATATTTGATATAAATCTTAATTGGTTAAATAAAAATATGATTTTGAATAGGTTAGTAATCGGGTCGGGTCATTAACTGTATACAGTAAGTTAATAAACCTTAAAAGAAACAAAAGGTTGTTGGTGATACTTTAAACAAAAGAATAAGTTACACATAGACTCCGATTTGAAACAGTATACATTTAGTACATTATAGACTCAGATTTGAAACATTACAGACGATAACCCGGCAAAAATTTTGCATTTCAGTTTTTTTTTTTACCGCCGAATAAAAAAAAAGTGTTGAGGTCAACAAGTTATAAAGTCCTTGCAAGATCGGTAGTACTTTTGCAGAGAACATGTTTGTCAGAAATGTGATGAAATGCCAGAAAAAGAACATACTGATTATACTATCAGTTTAACGATATTATGTAGGTATGTTCTTAAATGAAATTTTTTAACTGTTTTTTCTTTTCTTATTTGTTTTTGTATTTTTTTTTCAATTAGCCTGTATAATGGAACTTAAGACTAACTAGTCTTAAGTTTTATTTTGAACCATCTCCAGTTTACCCCAGTTCAAGGTCTATTTAAGTACTTCTAATACAATCCATGCAAACACATGATGCCAAGATTATTAGACACTAGAAATAAACTGACCCAATCCCCTCTCCTAACCTTTTCTTGGATAGCAGATAATATATAGCCAACATTTTTTCGTTATTCTGTCTTAATCTTAGAAGCATTTCTATATTGTAATAAATCTTTTTAGAAGGAATGAATCCGAAATACACATTTTCGCTTTCGTTGGTAATTTTATTTTCCAAGATCTTTGAGAATCGTTGTGTTATTTTATCACATTTACAGAAAACCTTAGTAACTTAAACACTTAAAAGTTTTATCCCTTGCTGAAAACTGTTTCAAAATCTATCATCAAAAACCTTTATTAGTCCACTGCTGGACATAGGCCTCTCTTTAGAAATGAGGTTTTGGCCTACTATGCCACACTAGCCAGACGGGTTGGTATAGTGTTTGTGTCAAGTTTTTCTTCTCTTTGCAGTGCTGCTTTCATGCGTATTTTTTCCCTTAGTTGGGCCTTACGACACCCACGGGATAAACAGGAGTGGGACACTCCATATTCTTAATCCGTCACCACACGGACATGAAAATCTATTGTACCTTCGAATTATTAGGTACAGTATGACAGAGAACTTTATCACTAAATGACCCTCGCAACTTAGTTTTCTTCTCTCAAAAGGAATAAATTTGCTTCGTGTTGGCAACATATTTTATTAATTCGGCTCCTATTGGCCTTAGTGTGATGTTTTAGTCTACAGCTTTTTCTATAAATGGGATATCCAACACTTTAAGAACTTTTCAATTGACTGCCTCGGCGGTGCAGTGGTAGCATATGCGACTGCTGTGCTGAGGTCTCGGGTTCGAAACCCGGCTCGCACCAAATGTTTGTATGATCTACAAATATTTTTTTCGGAGTTTGGGTGTTTTATACGTATAATATGGATTGAAAAAAAGTATTTAAGTATTCTATCAGTCAATCTAGCTTTCATAATACATGCTCTGCTTAGTTTGAAACTAGATGGCGTTGTGTGTCAGATGTCCGAAAATATTCTAAATATTATTATTAATTTCGAAACAGAAGTTCTTGAGATTAGCGCGTTCAACCAAATAAACAAACTCATTAACTTTATAAAATTACTTTAGATATCTAGTGATACATAATATATCAATCAATATTGAGGCGGCAAGCTTAGCTTATTAGATAGACGTTTTTATCTATTTTCAAATAACTTCTACAACCATTACCTGATGGAGGTAATTTTTAAAATTTATATTAATCAATCTTCATTGTTCAAGTTGAGTGAATCTTTTTAATTACGCAAATGAACAAAGTTAGATTACTTTCTAAAATTATTAATCAAACTTCGTAGTGTTGTCTTCTTTTTAAATACTCTGTCTGCGCCAAATTAGATACGCTTCAATCAGGAAGGGACCGTGATTCAAATATTTTTGTCACTTTACCTAGGTTTTTTTTTTCAAATGAGTCACAAGTGTACTTCGGCATATTAATCTTCTTTGTGATATGAGTCATCAATATCATCAACAGCCTTTAATAGTCCACTGCTGGACATAGGCTCTCCTTAGAAAGGAGGTTTTGGCCTACTACACCACGCTGGCCAGACGGGTTGGTGTAGGGTTTGTGTCAAGTTTTCCTTCCCTCTGCAGTGATGTTGTCCTGCGTACTTTGTTCCCTTAGTCGCCTCTTACGACACCCACAAGATGAATAGGGTGATATGAGTAAAATACTAATATAAAAGAAGGTTTACTAACTTTCTTTTAGGTTTTGGAATGTGAAATGTAGAGCGTGAAGAGTTGGAAAACTTGGAGTTCTGACATAAACCCGGGAATATGTGACTACATAATTATTTGTAAAAGTTTCAGTTATACAACATATAAATATATTATGGATATTAACATTACAGTAGGGCTGTAATATTAATATCCATATTTATATGTTTCTCAATAAACAAAGCGAGTATAAGTACATGACAAAGGAGAACATAATTAATAATTTAGTTTTTTTATGTAACGGGGTGGAAAATCCCTTTCGGATCTCCGGCTTCTTGGGGATAGAGGAGCCAGCAGAATGTGGTGTTTCCACTAAAAACCACCTCGACGGCCAGCCTTTGGCGCCCTACTCTAGGCTAGGCAGGACCCGGGCCATGTGATTATAGGTCCCCTCCAGATCGACGCCGCATCTAACTAGGCCCTATTCGCCATCTAGGTCGGTAGGGGGAAGCCTCTGCCTATCAGCCTATCACTAAATGTTGCGGCCCGATCAAAATCTAATAAGCACCCCCTATAAAATAGTAGTTGAAAAATTGACTACTAAATTGACTAAATCGAGTAGGTACGTGGATTGGATGGATTGTGTAATCCAACATAATCCAACATCTTACGATATAAGGCACGACTAAACGAATCATCGCAAGATAGAATCTATAATGATTAATTGTATTCTCATTACACAATCCACTGCACAACAAGACGATAGTTGTTGATCATACCTAAACGCACTGTACGCTCATATCCCTAAAGGGGTAGGTTAAATGGAAAGAAAGAATTCCAGCCATTCCAGTTTCATATTACCCTTTCCAATAACATTCCGCACGTTTTAACCTAAATACACATACAAATAAATTAAATCGATTACAGTTCAAGCCATCACAAGTGAACAGAATTCCTTTTTATACGTCCCAAACGTTTCCCAAACGGAGGAGCCCCACGTCGCCATTAATCTTTATCTAATTTAATACAATTGATGATTCCTTTCTTCCCTTTTAGTTTCTTTGAAAGAGTACAATGGGGTATTCTAGCGATTTAATTGATCTGTCTCGGAGTTGTAAATGTTCAGAAAATAGTCTCTTTATCTTTTATTGATTGTTTAAGCTTGCCTTTATTGGTTATTTCAACGACCTTAGGGTGTTAAAGTTGTTACTTATTTGAAGTACAATTTTAACGTTTCAATGGTTTTCGTATAAGATATTGAGTAAATAAATATCAGTCAGTGGTCCTTTGAAATTGACTTTTATTATCACTATTATTGATACATCATCCGCTAAGTTTAATGTCTTACCTCTGTTTGTATTAAGAGTATGGGGGTCGTTATCTTTTTAATTTCTTTCTTTTACATACATACAACTGTGTATTACAATAGTCTAGTTACAGTACAGTAATTTAAATTACAGTACAGTATTTTAAATAAGAAATCTTAATTCTCAATTCGTTTAAATGTCGTTAAAATGTTCCGCAAACTTAACTTACCTCAGTAAAACAAAATATATTAATTATATATTTAAATTATCCACTTGCTACTTAGCAAACTTTTAATGACGATTTTTAACACAGCCTTTCCCTTAGTCTGATATCAATCTATTTTACAGAAACGAGTTTTCAAAACCGTTCAGAATCAGACGACAGCGACAGTACGTCAAAAGCCACAGTTTCTGCGATGCCGAGACGTAAGTGTTTTATTTTACATATATATTTTATATTTATTTAAATCTTTATGCCTAACTGAGACATTGGCAGACTTCATTCCTAAGGTATTCTCTACCAATCAACTAGCACTCAAATTTATATATACAATTCATTATGTAAACCATTCTAGCGTGGGAGAGCCATGCTTCGGCACGAATGGGCCGGCTCGACCAAAATGATACCAAGGACCTCACAGAAAACCGGTGTTAAGCAATTCTTTCTTTGCCTTTTACTGAGTGAGTGAAGTTAGCGGAGCCCAAATCCCCCCTTCCGCTGACTCGAGCGGGGGGGACTCCAAGGGCAGCAACGCACTTGTGACTTTCGAGTTGCAGGTGTCCATGGGCGGCGGTAGTTACTTACCATCAAGAGACCCGTCTGCTCGTTTGCCCCCTTATACCATAATCATCATCATCATCAGCCTATCGCAGTCCACTGCTGGACATAGGCCTCTCCCATTGCACGCCACTTAGATCGATTTTGGGCTTCTCGCATCCAGCTCCTGCCAGCCATCTTGCGCAAATCGTCACTCCACCTGGCCTGTGGGCGTCCTACACTACGTTTGCCGAGACGCGGTCTCCACTCAAGAACTCGTTTTCCCCAACGGTTATCGGTTCTGCGGCTAATATGGCCAGCCCACTGCCACTTCAGCTTGCTGATCCGGTACGCTATGTCGGTGACCTTAGTTCTCTGCCGGATCACCTCATTTCTGATGCGATCCCTTAGAGAAACGCCGAGCATAGCCCTTTCCATAGCACGTTGAGCGACTTTGAACTTGTGGACCAGCCGTACCGTAAGTGTCCACGTTTCAGCTCCGTATGTCATGACGGGTAGGACGCACTCATTAAAGACTTTCGTCTTAAGGCACTGTGGGATCGACGATGAGAAGACTCGACGTAGCTTCCCAAACGCTGCCCAACCCAACCGAATTCTTCTGTTCACCTCGTCCTCCAAGTTGTTTCTACCTAACTGCAATGTCTGCTCGAGGTACACATAATTTTGAACAACTTCGAGAACGGCACCGTGTACCGCAATCGGTTCCGGTAGTACATGTTCGTTGAACATGACCTTGGTTTTATCCAAGTTCATCCGTAGGCCGATGCGTAGAGAAGTGTCAGCTAAGTCATTCAGCATTTGCTGTAGGTCCTGCAACGTCTCTGCCATGATGACGATGTCATCTGCAAATCGCCAGTGAGAGATGTATTCGCCATTGATATTGATGCCACGCCCTTTCCAGTGCAGCGTCTTGAACATGTCCTCCATTGCATTTGTGAACAATTTCGGGGAAATAACGTCCCCTTGTCTCACTCCTCGATGCAATGGTACGGGCCTTGTTTGCTGATTCTGTACTTGGACGGACATGGTGGCGGCTTCGTAGAGACATCTCATCACTTGGATGTATCGCCAATCTACTTGGCAACGCTGCAGGGACTCCAGAACAGACCAGATCTCGATCGAGTCAAAGGCTTTCTCATAGTACACGAATGCTAGACACAGGGGCTGATTATATTCTTCGGTCTTCTGTATAATCTGCCGCACTGTGTGGATGTGGTCTATGGTGCCATATCCGCTCCGAAACCCAGCTTGCTCCGGTGGTTGGAATTCGTCGAGTCTTTGCGCAAGACGGTTCGGTTCGGCAGGTCTTCGGTGTAGTGACGTGTTAATGTGGCTCTAGAGTCCTCATTTTCGGGCTCTGGTCGAGATGCATGCGAAGCGTATAACCGGCCATAGAAGCTTTCCACTTCCAAAAGGACTGCCGGCTTCGAAGCAACGACTTCTCCACTTTCTGTAGTCAACTTTGTCAGGTGGCTTCTTCCAAGAGATTGTACGAACACTTTTGACCCCCGATTTTGCTCGATCGCTCTTTCAATTGAAAGAGTATTGGAGCACCGGAGGTCGTGTCGTACGAGTTTACTGATCTCTCGGTTTAGAGTCCGCTTTGCCGACAAAGTGACAGGTGTGTTTTCACGTCGTTTCTTCATCAGCCCTAGGGTCCTTTCTGAAAGCTTCGACTTCCTGCCCTTACGCTGCATTTCACAAAATCTCATACCGTCTTCCCTGAGGATCCGAACCACATTTTTGAGGTTCTGGTTTACGTTGATTGTGGTTTCCACGGCAGCGAATCGGTTTTCCAGTTTTGACTGGAACGTTTCAGATCCTGTCATGGCTTGGAGCCGAGTTGGTCGGAGCCTGGATTTGATGAAACAGACACGTTCCGCCTTAAAGTTGATATTCAGAGAGCCCCGGACAAGTCAGTGATCACTACCGGTATTAAACCTATTGCTCACTGAGACGTCTCTGAATATGTGCTTTCTATCCGTCATGATGAAATCGATCTCATTTCTAGTCATAGCGTCGGGGCTTTGCCACGTCCACTTCCTTTGGGGCTGTTTCTTGAAGAAAGAATTCATCAAAAACAGCCCCTCCCGTTCGAGGAAGTTGACCAGCATTTGCCCCCTATGATTCCTGCTGCCAAATCCATGGGATCCTACTACCGATTCGCCGCAATTCTGTACTCCCACTTTAGCGTTGAAGTCACCCATAACAACGTTGTAGTGGGTCTTAGTTGTGAAGTGGAGGGCCCTCGATATGTCATCGTACATATCCTCCACCTCGTCGTCCGAATGTGCCGAGGTCGGTGCGTACACTTGCACAACCTTGAGGCTATACCTCTCGGTGAGCTTGATAATGAGGTACGCTACCCTGTTCGACACACTGGAAATTTCCACAACGTTGTCAGATAGGGACTTATTTACCAGAAACCCAACCCCACCTTGGGATTGTTGGTCTCCCTCGCGGAAGTACATTAGGTGGCCTGACTCGAGGGTTATGGTGTCCTCCCCCTCTCTTCTTATACCATAAAAAAAAACAAAAAAGACACATAACACAGCCTAAGCTTACTGAAATATACGAACGACTTCTGAATACATTCCATTTATTACATTACAAAATCTTCGCATATTATTTTAACTCAAACATGCGGTAGAAGACGTGATTACATAATTTTTAGTGAGTTTTATAATGGCGTTTTATGACGTTGAGGTCCACAGATTGCAGATTCTAAAGCAGCATGCACTATAGAAAAGTCACGTAAATTAACAGAAGTACGAGAATTTAGCTTAGACGAAGTGTTGCCAAGAATACTAGAAATATATGATCAGCATTCCTAAAATTCAAAAAACGAAAAGAAAGTTCATTCTTAAATAATTTTCATACACTTTCCTACACATATTTTCCTAATTTAGATTAATTCATAGTCTTGGTCAGAACTTTTACCGAAATGAGAACTGCATGGTATTATGTACGATATCACAGAAATGTATGAACAAAAAATATCATATTTTGTCGACCACGCACAGGATGAAGTAAGGGAGAAAGAAGATGATTAATTGGCCACAGACGTGCTCATGGATGGACTCAACGATATAGACCGATCATGCTGTCGAGCAACCAAGAGATAAACTTATCTTATAAATATAACCGTGATCAATTCTCCTTTTATCTGAAATGTGAATCAGCTGCCCGAGTTAATTTAATTCAGATTGGTTTACAAATAGGAGAAATATAAAATAAAATTAGTAATGAAAATAGTTTAGCATGTTTGAGAAAACAAATTAGAGTTACTAATAGGGCTACTAATTTTAGCCTATAGCGAATCAAAATGGAATTTAAAAGTCTCTTGACTAGTACTTGTTTGGATTAATCAAACACAAAATATGATCAAGTTACAATTTTTTTTAACAATTGGAGATATTTATATTAGTAGCGATGTTGTACTAATTTAAATCTTTTTTAGTACTTCTCAACAGTAAAAAGTTTCGAAGATAAAAGAGGGCGCTCCGCCCGTGCCCACTCATTCAATAATTTCAGTGAAGTAGGCGTACCAACATTTATTCAAAACTCTCTAAAATTGCGAGTTGATTGAAACGGAATATTTTGAACGAATTCATATTACAAGAATTGACCTTCAGTTATCTCAGTCATATTGCAATGTCTTAGATTGATTTCCGCTCAGTACAAATATGCATAAGTTCAGTTGGATGTCAAAAATGTATTAAGTAAACTATTCAAGTTCTATTCCGTCTTCAACATATGTATATTGTACTTAGTTTAGATTTAAGTAGTAAGTGTGTAATAATGTCGCAGAATATTATTATTATCGGTATACGAGTAAATATATTATCTGTTGCATGTTAGCCAAGTAATCACAACGTTACCCCATTAGTTTCTAATGATTTTATAATGACCAACATATTGAATAATCTATGATTTCATTTCCACTCCATTTTGAATTCAGCTTTTGTCGCTACAACCAATTATGTTGTAGTTGGCTACGTGTACAATTAGTAATGAACGGAATTATAAGTTTAAATGACAAAACCATTGACAACTTTTGTTTTTAATAAAAAAAAATGTACACTCCATAGTCTAAATAAATTTAATCGTGGCCATTTAAAAAAAAAGTATTTTGAGGTTGTCAACTAACAAATAAAAAGTTGTAGGTTTCCTTGTCAAATATTAAAATTAAATATGGCTGTGTATAAAAAATTGTGTTGGATATTTTTGTACATATTATTTATAAGTTAAATTATATTTTACACATCACACAAACAGCTAATTCAAAACTAGGCTGAGGCTGTATTGTGATAACCAAACTGCTAATATGCGGTTGTGTACTTTGGTGGAAGTCTGCCACAACAAGCATCAATAATTCCCCTTTCATTTATAAAATATTTAGATAATAATATGTTGTGTTGTATATGATAGATAACGATGGGTTGGCGTACCCTGGTGGATAAAAACCCCTTATTAAAAATATATATAAAAAAACTACTAATTAACGGATTTTTATTTTTCTAAATACTGAAACATTACTCACTACACCCATACACAAGAACAAAGAAGCAGTACTCGCTTAGCTGTCATTATCACTACTTGACCAAGAGGCCCGTCTTCGACCTTATTAATTTAAAACATTAATTTTCAATATGTAATTTTTTCATTTTTTTTCCAGGTCACTGTCGAACACCACACCACAGATAACAATGAAAATGCTGAATAAAAAAATAAAATTAGCATAAATTTAAATAGTATTGTAATTTTTATAATTTTTGTTTATAACATTAAGCATATCAATAAATTGTATCCGTAAAATAAAAATAAAACTTGTAAAAATAATTTATATCTATTATCTTAGTTATATAGTGTTAAAAAACATAGGTTATAATATTAAAGTGAAAACCACCTTCTTCAGGGTGCAGTATTAGAAATATTTGCATTAATATTATAAAGTCAAAAGTGTTGATTTTGGTTCTTGGTTCTTTCGTACAATAAATTAGTGCAGCATCATCGACGTCATTTTTCATCAACAGAAATGAAATTTAATTAATTAAATAAAATTTATTTGAAGTATACCTTATTAGGTATTGGTTACATTTTGTTTATGATTTGTTTGTCACTGGATTCTTATATAAAACTTATTACTAAATTCTAAAATGTGCAAAAGTGAATAGCAAAAGGTAAAATCACAATACTACGCCTGAGCTACGTGTGTGACCTGTGTTTCAGGCAAGGCAGGTTAGGTAAGGCAGGTAAGAAAGATTATTTGCTTACGAGAAGCGAGTCTAATATGTATATCAAACATACGCGACATATATTGGCGGTAAATCAAGGGAGACAGGCAAACGATTTCTCTGTAAATAAAAGGTGAAAAGGTTTTTTTAAGTAAATATCAAAACATGTAAACTTACGCTACTTGTTGAAGTAGATTTCACTTGAAAAACAAAAAGGCATCATTATTTGTGAATAGACTATTTAAACAAAACAAATAAAAAATATAATTTGGAATATTTCGAAAATTGGATAATACACATATCTTAGTTTTATACAATTCGTGCTCCTCATTACATATTTGTTGCCATAAGTGGAGTAAAATCGAAATACATTAAAAAAAATGTAGCTTAGTAGTAAAAAGCCGATGCTGTTTTCTTAGTTACCTCGACAATCTTAACAAGTTTTACTTTTTTATAACGCTTTCTTTCTGCGAAGAATCTAGAAACTTTGAAACATACCTATGTAAAAAATAATTTGTCTCGAAGTATATTTATTAAAAGACTGATGTTTTAAAGTAATTGTAAGTTCATGTCATACTATGTGTAATAGAAGTGACGTATTTTAGTAATGATGACATTATTTGTGAATCTCCAAAATTTTTCAATAGAAGTGTGTGTGTGCAATTCACACACGGCAGAAGTGAAACTGCCAATTGTTTTTTGGTTTTTTATCTTAGAAAAATCCTATAAAATTTTGCCCGACCCGGGCTAACGCAGCTTTTTACAAATTCCACGGGAACGAAGTCGCGAGTAGCAGCTGGTATTAAATAAAAACATAAAAGTATTTATACTGTCAAAATATTATATTAAAAATAATGTGTTATGTATTCTATCTCATTCTCTCGCGGACTTAATCCTATACATTTATGTGTTTATTTCTTTATCGTGACTCATGTTCGTTACATCGAGTTTCAAATCACAACGATTCTAAAGAAGTTTCACTTCCAAAAATTATGCACTTAGAAGTCAAACCTAAATGCATTGAGAGTTCAACTTGTTTAGAGCTTTATAACTATAAGTAATCATCAATATTTGCAAGATATAATTTCAGTATTTTGAGAATGTTACATGTCGTTTTCGGGTTTCGTAACATGCGGATTATTACTAAAGTACGTCGCCAGTAATTAGGAGTAACTGCCAAATTAATTTTAATAGGAGTTCTAGTCGTGTAACTATTTCCCAACTTGCAAACGAAATTGTTGTCGAACTATCGAAACTTGAAGTTCGTGAGTTTGTAACGGGAGTATATCTCTTGTTATCATAGTCATTATATTGTCAAATAAATGTTTAAAGTATCGGTTGGTTGTTTCTTTTTTAATTTATATTCGGCTTGGCTAGAATTATGAGTGATGATGGTAAGAAGAAAACCTAGATGTGACGGTTGTAAAAAACTAGTATTCAGAGCAAAACTACATCTCAATACGGTTTTTTAACGTCAGAGGAACTACAATTCTATTTTTTTGTTGTTCCCTATTCTTATAATTTGGTAATGAAAAAATTTCCTAAGGTAAGTCTTAGCTACCTGCCCACCCACAGCTCAGTAAGAAGCCCAGTATAATTTTGGTTATTTGGTTTAGGTTGAACGCGAGGTACGCCGTTCATTCCTGGACTAGATTTTACTACTTACATACAATTTTCATCTCTATTCTATTTGGATAAGGTTAAATTTTAAGAGTGCTTACACTAATTTGCTATTAATTTAAGCATTTTTAAAATTTACAGACCTAAATTCGAATTTACAGGAATAAGTTTGTGCTATTGAAATTTAATAAACTTACTATTTTTTTCATTACACAAAAGAGGTTTAATTGAATATCTAGTTATCACTGATACTTCCCTCTATTTTGTAATAGTAGTGTCTTAAAAAATACGATAGCAATAGTGATAACTACAAAACAAAAAAAACATAAAAGTTCCTTATTGAATAAATCGCTATACTATAGGAATCAATACAAGATTATGCGCTGCTGTGCTTGACCAAGGAAAAGGTCCTTGTAGAATGTGTTTTACTCTCGTGACGATAATATGCCGCTTCGTAAAGAATTCGGAAATAAAGCCATATACTTATTTTTGCACCTCTTTTCATTCTAAATAATGCCCTTTATAATGCTTCAACAGCCCTTATTAACAGATAGTATCTGCTAACAGTACACGTTAGCTAAAATTTCAGTTCAATATTTGATTTATAACCTGGTAAATCCTTAAAGGCATAATCCTAGAAATGTCGTGAATTTTACCAGGGCCTTAATTTATTTATTCAGTAAGTTTTCAAGGCAGTTGAAGTTCTATTTATAGTAGATCATCATAGAATCGATCAGACGAAATTGTATCTTAAATTAAAATGGTTGGAACCCTGCTTTATTATTTAAGATAATTTTATTTATTTATTTTTATTTTAAACTTTATGCACTTGTGTACATCGGCGGACTTAATGCCCAGGGCATTCTCTACCAGCCAACCTTTGGGTGGTGTAGAAATTTGATAGGTGCATTGAGGTTACAGGTGTAATAGTAGCATATATATATATATATATATATATATATATATATATATATATTTTATAGTTTTTTATATTTATATATATATATATATATATATATAAAAAACTAACTATATATATATATATATAGTTTTAACTATCATATACAAATACACATATACATACACACATATACATAGATAATACATATACTTTATATTCGTACACTGTAGTGTACTATCGAGTAGGTTATTCCGCCAACTGAAGAAGGTAGCTATGTACATGAGTTTTAAATGTAAAACGGTGATAATGTAGGTTACTTTAATTCTTTATAAAATAAACTCAATATTATAGTCAACATTTTGGAATTCTTTCATCAAACTATTGTTGCTGAGAAAGTTTAGATCACCGGCATTCTAATTTCGTAGTTGCAGAAAATAATAGCTCATGAAAGAAGAAAGGAAGATGCGCATTTAACGCCCACATTTTGACAACTATAGTTTTAGTCTCACCTACGTACCATGGAGCAAGTCTATAGCGATCAAGAGGCCACATAAATTTCTAAATAAACATACATCATCAATCAACAGCTTTAAACAGCCTTTAACAGTCCACTGCAGGACATAGGCGGAGGTTATAGGCATATAGAAAGGAGGTTTTGGCCTACTATAAAACGCTGACACGTCGGGTTGGTATAGAGATTGTTTTAAGTTTTCCTTCTCTTTGCGGTGCTGTTGTCCTGCGTTGTTTGCTGCCTTAGTCGGCCCTTACGATAGCCACTAGACAAATAGGGGTGGTGACACTCACACTTAATCCGTCACCACACGGACAAAACATACTTATATATTTCTAAATACGTAAGTAATATGAATAAATTACAGTCGTATACACGTTTTTACACATTTAGCAAAAGGGTCTATATATATAGATAAGAATAGAATAAACTTTATACCAGTCTAGAGAAAGGTTTGTATGTATAATATAATACATGCATATTATGGTAGAGAAAATCCGAGAATTTCAAAGACTTGTTGTAAAAAACATGTTTTTGTGCGCTTACGTTGTAAACGCTCTCTAAACCACGGAATAGTATATCTTAAAAAAAAACTTCGAAAAAGTCCTTAATGCTATATGTCTATGTCCTAAGGATAACCAACAGTAACCATCTTTATCTTATAAAGTATTACAAAAAAGTTACAAACTTATAAAGTATTACAAAAGAGTTATTTACGAAACTATTTTAAACAATACATTATTATTCCTTATCTAATTAAATACATTAGATAGGTTGTGCATTTAACGTAGATTAAAATTGCTCTACAGCATATCATGAAAATGAAAATTTTAAAAGGTATTAGAGGTTTAAATTGCGGGGCCTAACGACTGTCAAGCCGTACGTCCGTCCTGGGAGGTAGTGGCCGGCAAGATCGGAGCGGGCCTATAAATATTGCATTTGAACATGTATAAGTATAATTAATTACTTTACACTGACACCGCATTAGTAGTATCTACGTTGCACCCGTGCGAAGCCGGGGCGGATTGCTAGTAACACATGTAGAGCTTACGCTCAATTCATTAAAATGCATTCGATTTTTCGATATTAAAATGCCTTTGGTCTCTTACCCTAAATAATAATATTTCATTCGAAACCCTCTGAGTTATGGGTTTTAATTTTTGTTTTGTAAGGTGGAAAGGCGGTATCGATAAGTGAAAAATGTGGCACAATGTTAAAACTTTTTCTTTTTGTAATTTGTGTGATTAACAACAATAAATATTACAATACAAGTATTATTTGCAGCTGTTTATTTGAAAAAAAGGACCGACTCTTTCTTTGTAGTGGCTCATACACCACACTTTAGATACATGATTAAAAACTTTCAACTGTAACTACCTTTTTATCGGAGTCTGAAATTCATAGCTCCGCAGTAAGTTTGCGTTTAATCACATTAAAT